GATGTAGCATGATTCTGCCATCTTCTACTAGGTACTTGATATACTGAATTATTTGTAGATGCTATTTCTATTAGAATACTTTTTTGTTTTATCGAGACAGGATTTCTCTGTGTAGCCCTGGCTGTCCTGGAATTCCCTTTGTAGACCAGGCTATCCCAGAACTTACAGTGACCTGCCTGCCTCTGCCTCCTCAGTGCTGGAATTAAAGGCATGTGCCACCACCAACACCTGTCCAGAATACTTATATATGATTGAATAACATAGTTTATGTAGCAATGTATTTTGTAATAATATGCAATTATTTTGATAATGATTTTTCAGAGGCTTAGTTTTTGAGAATCTGTAATCCAATGACTTTCATTTTTTAAAAATATTTATTTTTATGTTTTGAATATGAGAGTTTTACCTACTTGCATGTATGTGTACCACTTGTGTACCCCGTGCCCGAGGAGTATGGAAGAGAGCATTGGACCTCCTGGAACTGAAATAACAGACAATTGTAAATTGCCATATGAGCATAGTGGGAACTGAATTCAGGTTCTCTGCAAGATCAGCAAGTGCTCTTAACTGTTGAGCCTTCTCTCCAGATCCTTTCACATTTTTTTACAGCAGACACTGTCCATTTCCTTCTGGGAAAACAACCTTATACAGAATAGGAAATCTATGGAGATGAGATATGGCCCAGAGCCCCTATGTGGGTTCCTTTTGGAGAATTTCTGTTTCAGGGTATCCCTGAAACAGGGTCTAACAAGCTACTCTCATATATTATATTCATTCATTCTCTCTCTCTCTCTCTCTCTCTCTCTCCCCCTCCCTCCCTCCTCCCCGTGTGTGTGTGTGTGTGTGTGTGTGAGAGAGAGAGAGAGAGAGAGAGAGAGAGAGAGAGAGAGAGAGAGGTGATGTGTGAATATGGGTATACAGGTAGCATAGCACATATTGTGGATGTCAGAGAACAACTTCTAAGAGTTGATTCTTGCCTTCTACATTGTTGAGACATGGTTTCTTATTTCTGAGGTGTCACATATCAAAGTCATCTGACCCATAAGCTTCCAGTGAGTTTTCCTGTCTCCGCACTACTACATTTGGCTTTTTTGTATAGGTTTTGTGGTCCAAATTGAGGTCATCAGGCTTATATGGTGAGTGCAATTACACTCTGAGCCATCTTGCTAGTCACTAAACTTTCTTGTGTTTCACTGTCTCATGGCTACTTAGGTAGAGCTGTGGCCAGAGCCCAGGTCCAAGCCTTGAAGTCCATTTTTATTCTCTGGAGGCCTCTGCAGTGCTCAATATTGGGCTAAATTGCACATGCTGCTGATGAAGTTGGGTCTCTTTTCCTTGATGCGGCCTCTGTTCCTAGTACAACCTAGTGTCACAACAGGCTGCTGGCTCCCCTACAAGTTTTAACAATGGCCAAGTTTTAATGCTGCAACTGCTGAAAGCTGCAGTGTAGCCACCACATTCAGGTCTGCTAGATGAGCAGATGTGGGATTGTAGCCTTCACTATGAAACATATCTATACAGCTATGGATGCTTTATTGACACCCATTCCCAGGAACTTGGAAAATTACGTTAATATAGTCAAGTTTCCATTTTCTATGTGAGGGTTGGTTGCAGCCTTGCTCTTTTTTTCATTCTGGAACAACAGGAAGGCTTAGTACCAGAGGCAGTGGCCATTGGTGGCTAGAGACTTTTCTGGCTTTAGGGTTTTTTTGGAAGATGACCTTCCTCTTTTCTATAGACATCATAAGCCTACAAAAGTTTCAGTTTATGACATTAACAACTATATATGGTAAAGCCTTTCATCAGAAGATTAATACAGAACATATTATTCAAATAAGGCCTACAAGACATATTTGGTGACTTTCTTGACAGTTAGCAGTTTAACATGTATGGCCCTTGAATTTTCCTTTTGTTAAAGACTTGTGGTTCTTTCAAGAGTGTGTAAAGTGGAAACATACATGGGATGACCCTGCTTTATGTTTTCCTGCATTGTGGGTCCTAATGCTGAGATGAATAGCTCTCAAGGGAATTTTTTTTCTAGTGTTGGAGATTGAACTCATGTCTTTACACATTTTATGCACATACTCTAGCCGTGAGCTACACTCCAGATCCAGGTGTACAGCTGGACCTAACTGCCAGCCTGTGCACTTGAATCTCATCATTATTTGAGAGTGTCACTTTGTCCTTCAGTATTTTTATACCAAAAGCATTCTCCACCAGAGAATTCTTTCTACTGTTAAGTCCTGGGCCTTTACATATTACAGAGACCACAGACTTCCTTTCAATAGTAACTACTATATATGCCAGTGAATGATAATTAGTGTAACAAGTGCCTCCTCTAACCTTGTGGGAGCTAGTTGTTGAATAAACAAAATTCTCAGTCCTACCTGTAGGCATTCAGGGACAACAGGGAACCAGGAGTTGATATTTGTTTTGGTGATTCTCTAGTCTTTTTCCAGGCTCCCTTTCTATCTCATCATTTAGTTTAGCAGCTTCCTCTGTGCAAAGCTTCAGTCCATGACATTGATTTTTCTTATGAAAATGTGGTCAGTTAAGTAAGTATAGAGTAGAAACTTTTGTGACTTTCACACTCAACTTACAGGTCAAAACACTTGTAGTGAGTGAGAAAACCAACCATTTTGTCAGAAGTGGGACTGCTTTTGAAGACAAAAGAATTTTTGTACAAAGGGTCTGTATGCCTGGTGCTGTCATTTTGCTATTGGTTTTTGTTTTTTCATCCACCGAATAGCAATCTGATACTATGCTGGGGAAACACACATGCGTGTGTACACACACACACACACACACACACACACGTCCATTTTGTTTTGTTTTGTTTTAAGACAGGGTCTCCCTGTGTAGCCTAGTCTGGCCTCAAACTTCTGATCCTCCTGCATCCATTGCCTGACTACTCGCCTGAATGCCACACTCAACAGAACTTTTCATGTTTTATTGCTAAAGTTCATGACAACCATCAAGATGCTTAGGAGTTAAAGCTAATCACCTCAATCATTTGCATGAGGTGTTGTGAAGGAACCAGAGTAGGGATCTTTTGAGAACAAAGAACAGTACCTAGAGCCCAAACTTCAGTTTATGATCTTTCAGCATAGAACTCTTTAGTTGAAGTATACATGAAAATAATTAAAATAGTGTATAACTAATTTTTTTTTGCTTTGTAGAAATGTACATTTGAGAATGATCCCTTATGGAAGTGCCTGTGAAGGCAGGCTATGACTGGATTTGGGATTGTCATCTTGCAGTATGTGTGATCCTGTGGTGTATTTGTATCTGTTCTCTTGGGGGAAAGACTTAGGCTCTGTTTTCATAAATGTTCATAGTAATTGATGGCTTTCATATAAATACTGACTAGATCTATTGTCCTGTTCCAACTTGGTTTCTTGCTTCTGTATTTATCCTTCTGTTCCAAGGATGCCAGTAAATCAGGTCAACTCTGGTACACTCTTACACATATGACAAGGAATTTATTAATAATAATAAAAGAGTAAATTTTGTAATTTAATACCTTTTCTGCAATGAGTAAGTACTTTTATTATACTGATAATAATAATTACTACAAACATTACATTCTAGGCCTTCTGCCAGGTAAGTCCTTTCCTTATATATTCTCCTTAAATAGTATGCCTTTCCTGTGGGAGAAGTATTATTAGGTATTCCAATTTGAGACACAATGAAATAGATCAAAAGACATGGATGCTTTGCCTAGGGTCCAACAGCTAATGAATGGTAGAGCTGGACTTCTACTACTTATAGCATATTTGTGTAGTGGACAATCAGGTAGTTTTGGACCCACAAGGATGATCCAGATCTTCAGGATAACCTGTGGGAAAATTAGTAGGCTCAGAACCTTTGTAATGGTGGGCCAGGAACCTGTCAGGTAAGGTAGCTACTTTCCAGGGAAGGAATTCATTCTGCATTTGGACCAATTTCTCCATCTCCTTAGCCTTAAAGGCTTCTGAGGCTTGACACTTAGGAGACGTGACAGAGGACATGATCCCAAAACTGCCTGCAACTGGAAGGTGGAGCCAAGTCTGGACTACTCCCAGCCAGGCCTCTATGTGCATAGGTTGACTGAATGAATGAACAGACAGAAGGAGGACAGAGGGTAGGAAAGAGGAAAGGGAGCCGGGCGGTGGTGGCGCACGCCTTTAATCCCAGCACTCGGGAGGCAGAGGCAGGCGGATCTCTGTGAGTTTGAGACCAGCCTGGTCTACAAGAGCTAGTTCCAGGACAGGCTCCAAAACCACAGAGAATCCCTGTCTCGAAAAACCAAAAAAAAAAAAAAAAAGAAAGAGGAAAGGGAAAGAAAAGAAGTTTTGCTGAGTGGATGTTTGGACTGCAGCAAAGTATCAAGGAGGTAGCTAGTATAAGTGATAGTGATGTGATAACTATAATGAAGTGAATGAATAGAGAAGGCATAAGTTTCCAAGTTTTGAGGCTGAGGATATAGTGCAGTGGTCGAGTGCTTGCTAGCTTGTGCAAGGTCTTGGGTTCACAAAAAGTACCACAAAAAAGTACCCAGTGCCACAAAAAGAGGTTCCAATTTTTATTCAGGTACATTATTGGAACATACTACTTCTTGCTATTTTCCATGTACCCTTCCGGTATACAAATCTCGGCCATAAGTTTATTTAATAAACATATTTGACCACTGACATTGATAATACTGAAAATAAATGAAAAAACTTTGGTTATCCTCCCAAAGAGGAAATATACAATCTTACCTATTACTCGAGCCTGACGCTTAGTAGAAAATAGAGGCCTCCTCCCCTACACAGGATCCTCCTGAAGCAAAAGCAGGCATCAATCAGCTATGTCTCAGGTCTTCATATTTGCCACAAAGACAGAAGGTTTCATGGAGTCCCTGCTATTTTGTTCCAACTCTGTTTTTAACTATTTTTCACCTTTCTATATTTCTTTTGAATATTTATTGTTTAAAAGGATTTCATGTGGAATAACTCTAATTTCTTATTTTTAAACAGGATTGACTGGAAGATGTCAAGTTCTCACACCAACTACAAACTGGATGAGGCCCAGGCTATAATGAGTGAGCTCCGTACTATCAAGAAAGCCATTTGTACAGGCGAGAAGGAGCGGCGGGACCTGATGCAGGTGAAACCAAGGCTGCCTCCTGAAAACTGTCTGCCAACCTGTCTGTCATTTATTACATTTTATATATTTACTATATATATATATATATAACTCATGAGAACTTTTTATGTGTTTTTTGAGCACATGCACACCATGTTTAATTAAGTGTATTAATTCTGCCTGACCTCTCCCTTATATAAACTCAGGATGGCTTGCCCCTTCCAAAACATTTTTGCCTGAGTTCTGTTGCACTTATGTATTCTGGTTCCAGTGTCTTCATTGATGCCAGAAGTGAATAGGTCTCAAAGCTTAAAGACTGGTAAACAGTCCTATTTCTCTTGAATATCCACACAAACAAGTTCCATGTGCCTGAATGAATACTTAGTGTAATTTGGGGCATACTAAAATCCACAGGAGATTACTTATAACCAGGTAGCACAATGAATAAAAAAAATCAGGTTATAAATGTGAGGTCTGGAAAACGTTTTATCTCTTGATTACCTATTAAAAAAATTTGAGGTGATATGCATCTTTGTCAGATCCAGTTACTATTTGGGGATTTGGCCACTTTTTAAAATTAAGGAATGTGACGGCTTAAAAAGATGGAACAATGGTACCATAACTATTTTCTATTTTATGTGTGTGTTACCAGAATGACTCAGTTTCTCTTTACTTAAATGACTGTTTTCTTTAAAGTAATCAAAAATATGTTTTTGTTAAAAAAAATTAATGATAATGGGAAGTAGGATGGGACATCTCTTTAGTCTTAGGCTGTAGACCCTTTTGAACCAGAAAGAAACAGCTGTTGTTAGAGGAAGGAAACCATGCCATCTCCACTCACAGAACTTGCCTTACTCTTTTCCAGAGCCTGGCCAAGCTTACTGATAGCTTCAAGAATAGCTGCTCCATTGCGGACCCTCTACAAGATCTCCCTCACAATACAGGCGCACTTGGTGACTCTGGTGTCCCTCAGCAGTTTTGTGATGCTGGATCTCAGACTGACTCTATAGGGGAGGTATGATCACCCGGCGCTGAGACATGAACATTCCTAAAGAGGAGTCACTGGCTTTGGTGGTGGTGTCACACATTTGATCTAACATTTCATTTCTACTTCAAAGATATTTTGGCTTTTGTGTTGGTAAATTTGAAAGGAAAATCACATTTCTCACATTTAGCTGTAATGGTGCAGTGGTATAGACTGTATATTGTCTTATGATTAGGAGTCTTAAAAATGGCAGCTGCTTTGCCAGCATTAAACGTAAGTGGTTTGTTTGTTTGTTGTTGTTTTTTTATATATCCAGGATTATAGAGTGTGGCTTAGCAAATGATTTCTGCAAAGGATCAGATAGTAAATCTCTCCTGCTTTCTAGTCACTTCCTTGTCTGATCAGCTGTCATTATAATACAAAACGTGTCCTGGATGATACCTAAGAGATGAGCTTTTTGGTTGTCACCAAAACTTTATTTCCCAAACAAGCAAACTGTCAGTGGGCTGGACCTGGTTAGGATCAGATTACTGATCTCCGATTTAGACTGTGATTTCCAAAGGCTATGTGGCTCTGTCAGTTAGGGTTATACTTTGTTACTATTTCTTGTTCTTCTAAGACAATGTCAGGAAATTGATTTTCTTTGAGACTTGGAACAATTTTAACATGCCCTTTCTTGATAATCAGTAAAGCACAAAAAACAAATTGGGAAAATCATCATTTGAAACTGGGTAGCTAATAATCAAAGACATATTATTGTAACATCATTAGATGAAGTTTGAAATTAATTTATAACCACATGAAAGCAGTTTGGAGGAGTTCTTTTCCTTAAGGGTTATTAAGTAAAGGTAAAATATTAGTGTGCCACCTTTCCCATTAAATAAAGGAAAGTTTAAGAGAGAGGGGTAAAAACAATTTGTGAGAAGGTCAGTGTTTTAGTTGTTAGTAGTTTGAAAGTTTGAAAATTAGTGCCTTTCTGGAGGAAGTATAGTATATATCATGAATTGCTGTGTCTTAGGTGTTCTGTAAATAATGTTTCAATTTTATTTTCATTATTTCTCAGAGTATATTTTGACATTTTTGGGAAAGGATATTTTGTTTAAAGAATACTGTTGCCACACAGAGAAAAATCTGTGAGCTGAAACACTTGTCATTTTTGCCTAGAGATTTTGGAGTGAAGAAAGGAAGCATGCACAAGACTCATTGAGTTCTGGAAATGACTTTTTTTCTTCTTATCATAAAGTTGATTTAGATTTTATAGCTCTTAATTAGTTTGAGAAAAACAGATAAGATCAAAGCTCTCTAATGATTTCAATAAGCCATTCTAAAAATGTCAGGTCGGGAGTGGTGGCTGGTTCTACCATTACAGCTGTAAATTGTCATGCCCCTGAAGTTTAAAAGGGTCGGCCCTGGGTTGGCAGCCTTACAGCTGTTATCTTGGTTTAACTACTTTTTTTGTTTTGTGTGGATTTTGTTACCTTCAATATAATTGGCATGGAAATATTTTTTTTTCATATCCTTTTTAGTCATGATTAATAGAGCAGAAAGTTATCATTTAACCACAGTTTGATCACAAATAGTTCCTTCACTCATATCAAAAAAATCATTTATTCTCACAGCCACATATTCACATAACTTTTCCCAATGGTCTGTTACAGGCTACATAACATGAAGAGCTTCTTAGTGAACTATATGATGGAGAAAGTGGTTTTTATATTCTAGTAAGGAAGATAAGGAATATTCATCTAAACACACATACTTATGCAAGCGTGTACACACACACACACACACACACACACACTATGATCTGGCAGGGAGGAGCCTAACATGGAACAGGCTGTGTCCACGCCCTTCCATAGACTGTTATGATGTGTATCAGTGAATATCATTGTTAATAAAGGAACTGCTTTGGGCCTATAGCAGAGCAATAGGGAAACAGAGCTAGGTGGGGAAAACTAAACTGAATGCTGGGAGAAAGGAGGCCACATCAGGGAGAAACCATGAAGCCACTTCTGGAAATAGAGGTCCTGAAACTTTTCTGGTAGGCCACAACCTCGTAATGATGCACAGATTGATGGAGATGGGTTAAATTAAGATATGAGTCAGCCAATAAGAAGCTAGAGCTAATAGGCCAATCAGTGATGTAAATAATACAGCTTCTGTGTGATTATTTCGGGGCTAAGCGGCAGGAACTAAGTAGCGGACTCCTCCAACACTGATGAGCTTCACAACAACCAGCAGGCTAAAAGCAAGCCGGCATCCTATCTGGCTTTTTTAAAAAGTCTTTCTTCAATGCGCTCCTCGGTGTGCATTTTTCTAGGTGAGAACTTTTTTTTTATTGCGAAAAGAAGAAAAAAAAACATAAAAAAAAACAAGTTTCCACCTCCTCCCAGCCTCCCATTTCCCTTCCCCTCCTCCCACCCTTCTCCCCCTCCTCCCACCCTTCTCCCTCTCCTCCCACCCTTCTCCCCCTCCCCCCACTCCTCTCCCCCTCCCTCTCCAGTCCACAGAGCAGTCCGGGTTCCCTGCCCTGTGTTAAGTCCTAGGTCCTCTCCGTCCATATCTAGGAAGGTGAACATCCAAACTGGCTAGGCTCCCACAAAGCCAGCACATTAAGTAGGATCAAAACCCCCTGCCATTGTCCTTGGTGTCTCATCAGCCCTCATTGTTCGCCATGTTCAGAGAGTCCGGTTTTATCCCATGCTTTTTCGGTCACAGTCCAGCTGGCCTTGGTGAGCTCCCCGTAGATCAGCTCCTCTGTCTCAGTGGGTGGATGCACGCCTCGTGGTCCCGAATTCTTTGCTCATGTTCTCCCTCCTTCTGCTCCTCCTTGGGACCTTGGGAGCTCAGTCCAGTGCTCCTGTGTGGGTCATGGCTCGATCTCTATCCATCACCAGATGAAGATTCTATGATGATATGCAAGATATTCGTCAGTATTGCTCTAGGATAGGGTCATTTCAGGTTCCCAATCCTCAGCTGCCCAAGGAACTAACTGGGAACCTCATCTTGGGCACTAGGGAGCCCCTCTAGGGTCAAGTGGCTTGCCCACCCTAAAGTGGCTCCCTTAACTAAGAATTGTGGTTCCGTGCTCCCCTATCCACCTTTCCTTTATCCCAATTCTCCCGTTTCCCAGGTCCCCCCTTCTTCCCTTCTACCTTATCTCTCCCCGTCTCCCCTTACCCCCATCCCACCCCCCCCAAGATCCCATTTTCTCCCCGGAAATTTGGTCTACTTCCGTTAGCGAAGAGGACAACTATATGTTTTTCCTTCGGTTCACCTTCTTCCTTAGCTTCTTTAGGTTCACCTATTGTAGACTCCGTGGTCCTTATTTATGGCTAGAAACCAATTATGAGTGAGTACATCCCATATTCATCTTTTTGGGTCTGGGATACCTCACTCAGGATAGTGTTTTCTATTTCCATCCATTTGCATGCAAAATTCGAGAAGTCATTGTTTTTTACCGCAGCATAGTACTCTAGCGTGTATATATTCCATACTTTCTTCATCCATTCTTCCATTGAAGGGCATCTAGGTTGTTTCCAGGTTCTGGCTATTACAAATAATACTGCTATGAACATAGTTGAACAAATGCTTTTGTCATTTGATAGAGCATCTCTTGGGTATATTCCCAAGAGTGGTATTGCTGGGTCCAGGGGTAAGTTGATCCCGAATTTCCTGAGAAACCGAAACACTGACTTCCACAGTGTTTGCACAAGATTGCATTCCCACCAGCAATGGATGAGGGTACCCGTTCTTCCACAGCCTCTCCAGCAAAGGTTATCCTTGGTGTTTTTGAATTTAGCCATTCTGACAGGTGAAAGATGATATCTGAAAGTTGTTTTGATTTGCATTTCCCTGATTGCTAAGGAAGTTGAGCACGACCTTAAGTGTCTTTTGGCCATTTGAACTTCTTCTGTTGAGAATTCTCTGTTCAGTTCAGTGCCCCATTTTTTAATTGGGTTAATTAGCATTTTAAAGTCTAGTTTCTTGAGTTCTCTATATATTTTGGAGATCAGACCTTTTTCTGTTGCGGGGTTGGTGAAGATCTTCTCCCAGTCAGTAGTTTGCCTTTGTGTCTTAGTGGCAGTGTCCTTTGCTTTACAGAAGCTTCTCAGTTTAAGTAGGTCCCATTTATTCAATGTTGCCCTTAATGTCTGTGCTTCTGGGGTTATACATAGGAAGCGATCTCCTGTGCCCATCTGTTGTAGGGTATTTCCCACTTTCTCTTCTATCAGGTTCAGTGTGTTCGGACTGATATTGAGGTCTTTAATCCATTTGGACTTGAGTTTTGTGCACGGTGAGAGATATGGGTCTATTTTCATTCTTCTACAGGTTGACATCCAGTTGTGCCAGCACCATTTGTTGAAGATGCTTTCTTTCTTCCATTGCATACTTTTAGCTCCTTTATCGAAAATGAGGTGTTCATAGGTTTGTGGGATAAAATCCGGGTCTTCTATACGATTCCATTGCTCGACTTCTCTGTTTTTATGCCAGTACCACACTGTTTTCATTACTGTAGCTCTGTAATAGAGTTTGAAGTCAGGGATGGTAATGCCTCCAGAAGATCCTTTATTGTATAGGATTGTTTTGGCTATCCTGGGTTTTTTGTTTTTCCATATAAAGTTGATTATTGTCCTCTCAAGATCTGTGAAGAATTTTGATGGGATCTTGATGAGGATTGCATTGAATCTATAAATTGCCTTTGGTAGAATTGCCATTTTTACTATGTTGATCCTCCCAATCCAAGAGCAAGGGAGGTCCATCCATTTTTTGGTATCCTCTTCAATTTCTTTCTTCAATGCCTTAAAGTTCTTGTCAAATAGATCTTTCACTTCCTTGGTTAGATTTACCCCCAGATATTTTATGCTGTTTGTGGCTATCGTGAATGGTGAAGCTTCTCTGATTTCCCTCTCTGCTTCCCTATCCTTTGTGTATAAGAGGGCAACTGATTTTTTGGAGTTGATCTTGTATCCTGCCACATTACTAAAGCTGTTTATCAGCTGTATAAGTTCTTTGGTGGAGTTTTGGTGGTTGCTTATGTACACTATCATATCATCTGCAAATAACGAAAGTTTAACTTCTTCCTTTCCAATTCGAATCCCCTTGATCCCATTATGTTGTCTTATTGCTATTGCTAGAACTTCAAGCACTATATTGAAGAGGTATGGTGAGAGTGGACAGCCTTGTCGTGTTCCTGAGTTAAGCGGGATGGCTTTGAGTTTCTCTCCGTTTAATTTGATGTTAGCTGTCGGCTTGCTGTATATAGCTTTTATTATATTTAGGTATGACCCTTGTATCCCTAATCTCTCCAAGACTTTTAACATAAATGGATGTTGAATTTTGTCAAATGCTTTTTCAGCATCTAATGAAATGATCATATGGTTTTTTTCTTTCAGTTTATTTATATGCTGGATTACATTGATAGATTTTCGTATGTTGAACCAGCCCTGCATCTGAGGAATGAAGCCTACTTGATCATAATGGATAATTTTTCGGATGTGTTCTTGGATTCGATTTGCCAGTATTTTGTTGAGGATTTTTGCGTTGATATTCATGAGTGAGATTGGCCTGTAGTTCTCTTTCCTGGTTGAGTCTTTGAGTGGTTTTGGTATCAGAGTAATTGTGGCTTCATAAAAGGAATTTGGTAATGACCCTTCTGATTCTATATTGTGGAATACATTAAGGAGTATAGGTATTAGGTCTTCTTGGAAGTTCTGGTAGAATTCTGCATTGAAACCATCTGGTCCTGGGCTTTTTTTGGTAGGGAGGTTTTTGATAACAGCTTCTAATTCTTCGCGACTTACAGGTCTGTTTAGATTGTTCACCTGGTCCTGGTTTAGTTTTGGTAAATGGTATTTATCTAAAAAAGCGTCCATTTCTTTTACATTTTCCAGTTTTGTGGCATATAGGCTTTTGTAGTAAGATCTAATGACTCTCTGAATTTCCTCTGTGTCTGTGGTTATGTCCCCCTTTTCATTTCTGATCTTATTAATTTGCGTGTTCTCTCTCTTTCGTTTAATTAGTTTGGATAGGGGTTTATCTATCTTGTTGATTTTCTCCAGGAACCAGCTTTTTGTTTCATTGATTCTTTGGATTGTTTTCTGTGTTTCTATTTTGTTGATTTCAGCCCTCAATTTGATTATTTCCAGTCTTCTACTCCTCCTAGGTGAGTCTGCTTCTTTTTTTTCTAGAGCTTTCAAGTGGGCTGTTAAGTCTCCAATATGTGCTTTCTCTGTTTTCTTTAGGTGGGCACTTAGTGCTATGAACTTTCCTCTCAGGACTGCTTTCATAGTGTCCCATAAGTTCGAGTACGTTGTTTCTTTATTTTCATTGAATTCAAGGAAGACTTTAATTTCTTTCTTTATTTCTTCCTTAATCCAGGTATGGTTCAGTAGATGACTGTTCAGTTTCCATGAGTTTGTAGGCTTTCTGCGGGTAGCATTGTTGTTGAATTCTAACTTTAATCCATGGTGATCTGATAAGACACAGGTGGTAACTAATATTTTTTTGTAACTGTGTAAGTTCGCTTTGTTACCAAGTATGTGGTCAGTTTTCGAGAAGGTTCCATGAGCTGCAGAGAAGAAGGTATATTATTTCCTCTTTGGGTGGAATGTTCTATAGATGTCTGTTAAGTCCATTTGCTTCATTACCTCCATTAATTCTCTAATTTCTCTGTTAGGTTTCTGTCTGATTGACCTGTCCATTGATGAGAGAGGAGTGTTGAAGTCTCCTACTATTAGTGTGTGTGGTTTGATGGCTGCCTTGAGTTTTAGTAATGTTTCTTTTACGTACGTGGGTGCTTTTATATTAGGGGCATAGATATTCAGGATTGAGACTTCTTCCTGATGAATTGTTCCTGTTATGAGTATAAAATGTCCCTCTGCATCTCTTCTGATTGATTTAAGTTTGAAGTCAACTTTGTTAGAAATTAGTATGGCCACACCTGCTTGTTTCTTAGGTCCATTTGCTTGATAAGCCTTTTCCCAGCCCTTTACTCTGAGTAGGTGCCTGTCTTTGTGGTTGAGGTGTGTTTCTTGTAGACAGCAGAATGTTGGATCCTGTTTTCTTATCCAATCTCTTAGCCTGTGCCTTTTTATAGGTGAGTTGAGCCCATTGATATCAAGTGATATTAATGACCAGTGGTTGTTAACTCCGGTCACTTTTTAAGTAGTAGGGTTTGTGTGTTTTCCTTCTTTGATTTGCGCCGGTTAAGAGTCTCTAGATGTCTGAGTTATTGTGGTCATTGTTGGACTCCTTGGTTAGTGATTTTCCTTCTATTATTTTCTGTAAGGCTGGATTTGTGGCTACGTATTATTTAAATTTGTTTTTATCCTGGAAAATTTTGTTTTCTCCATTTATAGTGAATGAAAGTTTGGCTGGATATAGTAGTCTGGGCTTGCATCCGTGGTCTCTTAGTTTTTGGAGAACATCTATCCAGGACCTTCTGGCTTTCATGGTTTCCATAGAGAAGTCAGGTGTAAGTCTGATAGGCTTACCTTTATAAGTAACTTGGCCTTTTTCCATTGCAGCTCTTAATATTCTTTCTTTATTCTGTATATTTTGTGTTTTGATTATTATATGGCGAGGGGATGTTTTCTTTTGATCCAGCCTATTTGGTGTTCTGTATGCTTCTTGAACCTTCATAGGTACATCTGTCTTCAGGTTGGGAAAGTTTTCTTCTATAATTTTATTAAGTATATTTTCTGTACCATTGAGCTGCACTTCTTCTCCTTCTTCTACTCCAATTATTCTTAGGTTTGGTCTTTTTATTGTGTCCCATATTTCCTGAATGTTTTGTGATGAGAGTTTGTTGGACTTGCTGTTTTCTTTGATCAGAGTGTTTATTTTCTCTATGTTATCCTCAGAATCTGAGATTCTTTCTTCTATCTCTTATATTCTGCTGGTTATACTTGATTCTGTAGTCTCTATTCGTTTACCTAGATTTTCCATGTCCAGTCGGCCCTCTGTTTGTGTTTTCTTCTTTGCCTCCATTTCAGTTTTCAAGTCATGAACTGTTTCCTTTATCTGCTTGATTGTTTTTCCTTGGTTTCCTAGGGTATCATTCACTGATTTACTCAATTCCTCGAACTTTCTATTATACTTCTCATCCATTTCTATAAGGGCGTTTTTTATATGCTGTTTAAGGGTGTCAATCACTTTCATGAAGTCAGTTTTTTCTACTTCTTCTTGATTAAGGTGTTCATGTCCTCCTGTTGTGGGGTCACTGGCTTCTTGTGGTTTCGTGTTGTTTTTCAGATTGTTGGGAGAATTCCTGCATTGGCGTCTGCCCATCTCTTCCTCCCAATACTCCCCTTTGGATCTTCTTTTATAGGATCAGGTCTTCTTGCCCACTGATGTACCTTCCCAGTGATGTCACTCCCCAGAGATGTTTCTCCACAATGATGTTTCACTCGGTGCCCAGAACGAAACTCCACACTGCTTGGTTAGCTCGCGAACAAAGGGCCCACCCTGCTCGCTGGGGGCAGGCTATGGGAACAAAGGAGCTACCGGCCACCCCTTTGTCCTCCCGGTTCAGATTCGGTCCCAGCGCCCTAGCAGGCTGGGCAGGGAGGCGCTATGCCCCAAAGGAGGGAGGGAGACAGGGGGTGTGGGGATCTGGATGTAAGCTCGGAAATATTTAAGCCTAACTACTGATAGTATTGAAAGCATTTCAAACGTAACTTGTAGGTGATACTCCCCAATCCAGACCTTGCCTTGTTTCCTTTTATCTTTGGTTCCCTTTTTATGCCTTGAGCCTTAGAAGGTCATCCTCTAGCACCTTCTTTAGGAAATTAGTCTGTCTAATTTAGACTTTGCCATTTCTGAGTAGAACATCTACTTTTCTGACTGTGTCCATGTGGGATTGGTTCCCAAACCCCATAGGATACCAGGATCCACAAATGATTATGTCCCATATGTCAGATAGTATGCTATTTGCACGGAACCCCACATAATTCCTCCTGTTGACTTCAGATCATCTCTAGGTGAATTATAATAACTGATGTGATATGGGTAGTTATTATACTCATATCTTAAGAACAATGACAGGAGAAAAATGTCTGTGCATATTCAGTACAGATGCAAACATTGTGAACTTAACTACATTTTCAACCCATGGTTGGTTGAATCTACAACGTGGAACTTACAAATATGTAGGGTTGGCCATATTTTGTATTAAATGAGGAGTTAGATTATAGTGAAAGTATGGGTGAATGTTTTGCCTTTGTGTCAGCTTAAAGTAACTGCCTGTTAACTGAAACATAATTCATTTTTGTTATTTGAATTGATATAATAGATGAGTGTATGTGTGTGTATATTTTAAAAATAAAAATAATACCAGTTTTAGAAAGTAAAAGTCCTCTCAGTTCTCACCAGCCTGGGTAGCAGCAGAGTATTACATCTAGGCCTTTGAAAAATATATTGTAGTGTGGTGGCACACACCTTAAATCCCAGCACTTGGGAGGCAAAGGCAGGTGGATCTCTTTGAGTTCGAGGCCAGCCTGGTCTAGTTAGTGAGTGCCAAGACAGGCTCCAAAGCTAAGCAGAAAAACCCTGTCTCTCTCTATATATAATCTTAGGTTTTTCCCCCCAAAAGTTTAAGTTAATTTTCTACTTTGAAGACATGTTTCTAATATTCTTTCTCTTCCTTTTTTTTTGTCCCTTATGTTCTGTAAAGTTTCTCTTTGATGATAAAACAAGACTTGTAGGCCGTGTCAGACTTAATTGGCAGTATGAAGAAGCCCGAAAAAGGTAAGAAGCATACTTTTACAGCCTGGGATTTGCTTTCTTTCTTCCACATAAAAAGGCCAAGAATGTTTCTAGAGTTTAAATGCCCACATTTTACCAGAAAGAAATGAATGAAATAGAAAAGAAAGGTCCTTTATTTTTTATATCTTCTTAACATATCTGGTGAACTTTCAATGACTCTTAAAATATAAAATTCTCAGTATTTGAGGTTTAGATGACTTGAAACCATAAGAGACTACTGCAACATTCTCTATCATATGAGATACTTGCAATTCTCTTCCTGCCCTCCTTCTCTTCCGACCTACAGGTAGCATCCATCCATCAGACCAGTGGAAGCAAACTTTTGTCTTTCACACACATTGGTATTAATCACTTAGATTGATGCAGAAAGCTATTTATCTTACCATCAAAACCAATTTGGTATTGATATGTCAGCAAGTGATAGCAGTATCTATTAGAGTTCATTTGTTGGAGACAAGTGACATCATTTATGTTGACCTATATTATACCTTACCTGCCTTCTGCGAACTTTAGATTTATCAGGGTTTGTGCCTTGGGTTTGTCTTAGCTCCCTCCCTCCCTCCCTCCCTCCCTCCCTCCCTCCCTCCCTCCAGTCTTCACCACTGAACATTGACCATATACTTGCACAGCAAAGTATTTTTGCCTCTGTGATTTTAGTGTCTTTCTTTCTCCTCAGGTGCTTAGATTTTCCATTTTCAATACTTGCATGGTTTACACCACCTCTATTTAGAGACAGTTTCTCTATTATACCTTATAGAAAGAATCTGAAAACCAAATAATTTTAAAATGTTTCAAAAACACCATAAAACATTTAATTTTTATTTTACTTTTATATGCAGTGCTGATAATAAAACCCAGAGCATCACATATGTTAAGGATGTAGTCTTGCACTGAGCTATATCCCAGCTGCTTTTTTATTTTGTATTTCATACAGGATCTCTCTAAGGTACCTTGGCTGGCCTTGAACTCTTGTTAACCCAAGCAGGCATTGAACTTGTGATCTTCTTCTATCAACTTTCTGAGGAGCTAGGATGACAAGGACCAGACTGAAGAACAGCTTTAGAATATGCTGTGTAGTTATGGCTTACATATTTTCTTAATATCTTCAGTGGGGAGAGCAGAATACCAGGCAAAGTGAGGGACTTAATAGCTTGACACTTGGGCCAATGTTCATTGAGATCTTGAAAATCACCTGTAAGAAACTGTAACATTAATAGAGAAGCAAACCATCTGATTTCCTGCTGTAGCAGTAGCCTAAACCAAAACCTACTTCTCTTTACTGGGAAGCATCTCACCAGCTCTCCCAGGACTTTTCAGGGTGGAGATGTGGTTGGCATTGAATTTCTCAAGTTCATTGGCCAGTGCTGGTTACCTCCCTGGTCATATGCTTCATTTTTCATGCATTCTTTCATGATAGCTTTGGGTGCTTGTGGGGGCAGTTGTTTCTTCTGACCAGGCCTCTGCTCCTTCGTGCCTGTTTCAAAGTGGGACTGCCAAGTGTGGGTGCTGGAATTTGCTGTGCTGTGTTAAACACAGAAAATAGATTATTGCTACACTTACGACCATAATTGTTATGTGTTGTTGTGACATTTACCAAACATAGCAAGTGATTTCTTTGTTCTAGAAGTGGTGTCAGTACATATCAAGTCACCTTTTAGATGTTGAAGTAATACATTTGAGCAAATAGTTGAGGATTTAAGATGATCCAGTTGGTAAACACTGCACTTAATCATTACTTTTGCATCAAAGTATTCTTTCGCAGTTGCTAGAACCCTGATAATATGTTTACTGTGACTACTTAGAAGAATCCAGGCCTCAACATTTCTACCTTAGCAGCATATTAGAGGCTTCTCAGAAATGAAAGACAAACAGCACTCTGAAGGTATGATGAGTTTAAGCATCCCAAGATGGGGAGAGATGTTCTTAAATGATCCTAGGATGCCCACTTCCAACGCAGGATCCTTGTGAGAAAGACTCTGGAAGGTCAGAGTAAGAGAAGGCGTGGTGGGTGTTAATAGAGGCCAACTACAAACTGGAAGAGGCAGCGAAATGTATTCTTTCCTAGATGTTCTAGAAGAAACATGGCTCTGCTGACCTGTGAAGCTGTAGTCAAATAGTAGTGTTGTTTTAAACCACAACAGTTGTCAGATTTTTTGTTGTTTTTTGTTTTGCTTTGTTGTGTCAGTAAATCCAATACTTTATTTTAATCCATTGAATGATGCTTGCTAAGAAGATTAAAAAAGCAAGTTTTTTACTTAGTCTTCTGAGTTATGCTAGTAATTTCCAGAAATTCTATCCTAGATACTGTCAGGCATCATGTTTTGCCACCTATCTGTGTATCCCTTAGGTTAATCAAGTTCACACATACAAAGTAACCATTATACATATCCACTGTAGAATCACTTGTGTTTTGCCAGTTTTTAAAGGGGAAGAAGGTGATGCTTTTACACAGTTTGAAGAAGTTTTTCCTTGAGTGTCTAGAATTGATGTTGTTTTAAATAAATACAATATTATCAAAAATGCAAAGTTCTGGACAATAAAGGGTTTTGTGTGTGCTCAGAGTTAGAGGAAGTTTCTAGGAGTAGAATGTATAATTCCAGGTGGTAATGTGAGAATCTGGAGAATTATCTGACTAAACTACCACTGTCAAGAATAACCTGTTTGGTATTTCAACTCTGGGTTGAAATGTCCCAAGAGGGCTGCATTTACCTTTCCCTCCTGTAATGACTCTTTGGATTCCCATGACAGACATTATGAGAGGAATATTTTCACATGACTAGTTAAAAGTTTTGAAATTTTTTTGAAATTGGAAGAACAAGTCTTGAAGCAATCCTGATGACGCAGATGGCTCCGTATTTTTAACTTAAGAGCTCTTGGTCCAGAACTGTGCATAATTTGTAGCCATCTCCATGGAAACGTTCAGCACAGATAGGAACAAAACATGTGGTGTATCCAGTTCCTGTGTCTTTGGTGTTGCTATCAGAATTGTTTCTGGTGTTCATCGGTTGTCAGGATTCAGTGGTAGTATGACTCCAGTTGAATTTGATTAGTCACTTGGATTTACCCCTTCTTTTCTCAAGTAGCTTTGTATATGGGCTTTGACAAGTAAATGAAAGCATGTTTGCCATCATAACTTTATCTTTTTCATTTGAAGACTTGCTACTTTTCATTTTGTAAAGTTTCTCTCTAAAGATATGTCCATCTCAAGGAGAGAAAATGTTAAAAGAGTGTAGCTGAGAGGCATGGTAGTACAGCAGTATATTGGCAGATACTTCTTGTACCATGTGTTCTAAATGGAGACTTCCAGAATTTCCCAGGTAAAGGTTAGTGGAATCCACACTGACCTGTCAATATTCATTTATCCTGCTAAAGATGTTGTCATGTTTCCAATTAGATCTTAGCTGAGATTTTCTTTGACCTTTCTTTTATAAAAAGTAAAAATTCACAAGAAGAAAACTGAGTGAAAATGTATGAGATGCCAGATATGTGCTTGGAATTGAAATCTGAAGACACAAGTTTCTAAGTTGGCATCATGGCAGTAGGATCTGTCATGACTTGTCAGCATCAAATGGGGGTAACAGGTTTCCTGAAGTTCTGTTTGCTATTCCAGAAAGCCACAGGATTTTAGTAGCATGGGAAATTATACAACAGATTGAAGATTTTAGGTAGGATTTGGGATTATTCTTGATGTGTTGCAAACGTTTTTAATATTAAAAGTGCATTACTCCTAGAAAATGGAAACAAAGATTTCCCCATGAACTCTAAAGATCTGAGTAGTGTCTGCAGCCCAAACGCAGGTTTCCATTCATGATTTAACATGCCTTGTTTGTGACAGATAAAACACTTGGTCAGATATCAGGACTGAATAGTTCATATTTTGCTTCTGTATTAGACCTGCTCAAGGAACAGAATTTAGAAATCACATAATAAATATGAAACCTGAAGTGAGATTTTGCTTTTATTTCTTCACTCTCAGTATAGGGAAACATATGTTTTAAAGCTCTTAAAGGCATTCGTAAAAGATTATATGTAAGCTATAAGATTATATGTAACCTATCAAAAAAAAGAAAAAAATCAATAAAGAGTATAGTGGATTTGTACAAAAGAAAAAGAAGGAAGGAAATCCCTTCCCAATTTTATGTGGCTTTTAATGCTCTTTAAAAATGAACTTGGAAAAGTATTTTTTCTTTTTCTGGAAACCTTCATCATGGTCTTTTTGAGCACTGAATTTCATTGAAATGATACTTCAAAGAAAAACTTTTCTGGAAATTACTTTTCCTATTATGCTCAGAATTGGAATGATGGCCTTCCAAGGAATGGGCCTTCAAGCAGTGGATCAGCTATTTAGCATGGATCTAGAAGAAGGTGCACAGACCCTGGCAATCTGTGTTTTGCCTCAGGCAGGAAATCTGCTTCCTCATGGAAACCTCCTGTTTCCGGGACCTCAGCCCAAAGCACAAGGCATGATAAGGCATGATATTGAAAGGCCAGGCAACTGTGCTAGCGGTCTGTTGTTGGGAAAATCCTTCCTTCTAGTGCTTTTGGCTTCTAAAAGAGACAGACCACAGACAGATGTGCCTCTTTTGACCTGGTTGAAGGAAGCTCAGAAGTCCCTATCCAGAGTGTGGTCACAAAGAAGGAGCTTGCCTTTTTCAACATGTCAGTATTCTAGATTCTGAGGTATCTTGAAAAGCACCTTACAAGCATCTTCATTGTTGTGAAGTCAGAATTAGCAAAGCAACGTGCTTAAGCATGGAAATGCTTGCCTAGTTTTCAGCATGACCCAAACAACTTTACCAGATGGGTTGCAAGAAATCATCGTCATCCGGATCTTGTTTCTGCTGGAGAGGTTGGCCCTTCGTAGCATATTTTTATTTTCCGTAAGTTATGGAAAGTTATAGTACATGGCTTAACGTTGACTGTTCTACTGTTTCATTATGCTTGAGATGAGCAGGCTCTTTGAAAATTTTTGCTGTACTTCTCTTCCCTCCAATAATTAAGCTTTTCTGCTCATTGATTTTTCTAGATGGTGTGAATCCCTTGAGATTTTTCTAAGACAGCTAGAATTATCTAGAACTGGATCTTTTGCCACCCTCAGCAAGTTTTGAATCCTTGTAGAAATCGGTTAGCATAGAGCTCCCAGTCTCAATGGAGGCTTGTTCTCTTTGTATTTAAACCCATAGGGAATTCAGACTGCTCAGGTTGGGATGGAGTGGTATATACCTTAGTGATAAGTGATTACTTAGCATGTATGCTGTCTAGGAGATGGCTCTAGTAACACACACACACACACACACACACACACACACCCCACAGGACAAAATAAAACCCTCTATAGAAGAACTCAAAAGGAATGCTTTTGAGAATATGTCTGTATCATAAGCATGACATATGTGGCTAGTTTTAGCTAAGCTTAGATAGGCTTTCTTAATAAGTAGATAAACTGAAATAAAAATTTGCTGTGAGGACATAACCAGATTTTCTCATTAGTCTTCAAGTCTTTTATATTTATTCTTTACCTTTGTTTTAGTTTTTAGTAGATTGTTTTAGAAATTTTACTGGATACAATGTCTAATTTTCTACTGGATTATTTATGGTCCTTCACAAAGTGTGCTTTCCTTGGGCTTCAGTAATATATTACAGCCATAAATTTTTAATTCCACTAATTAGACATAGGTGAATGAATACTTAAGCCCTGCTTAGTTGCCTCTAGCATTACTATTTTCAGTGACATGATTTGGCTTCATTTTCTGGTACATTTTCAGGATATTAGTTTTAAGTTAGAAAACAGCTTATCTAATAAAGCTACTTATGTACAATTAGATTTTTTTTTACCTTTCTGGAGAACTGGGCTTGAATAAATGCATACATTTAGGTTTTAGTCTGCAGACCCTTTTCTTTCTGGGACCACGAGTTTCATGTTGGTTCTGTACCTGGACACAGAGTTCTGTCCAATTCTCCAGACTTCATGATTCCCTGTGCATATATCTAGATCAGACAGAGCCTAATTTGGCACAGGTCTGGGCCACAATTTATTTAATGCATATGGTAACTCCAGACAATGGTGACATGTACGTGGAGCTCAGGTTTGAGAAAGATTCTGAGGGCTGCACCCAACAGGCAAGAAGCCAGACACGGTTAGTGCCATGTGCCCTGGGCACAGGAGGTAGGCAGTATCATGCGTGCTCTGGCCCTGTCTCTGCCATTCCCATTTTCGTGAAGAACAACATCCTGCTGGTGCCTGATGTAACTCCCTAAAGGTCAGTTAGCACCTTCCAGACTGGGCAGAGCTGCAGAGGAGGAAGCTCTGAGAGTCCTGGTTGTTCGACTTGAGTGAGCAGAAGAGCCCAGAGCCTCATGGCGTAGGAGTCAGTAGATCTGGACTTGGGCCTGATGGTTGCCCTTCTAACTGCTCCCAGGTGATCCTGAGGCGCCAGTCCTGAGGCTCCACTTTTATAATCACTTCCTTAGACTGTGTGGTGCCTGACACTTACATGTTCTTGCAGATTTCTGTCATCTCAATGAACTCTTTGGATTTCGTTTTTCGGCATGCGTGCTAAACTTCATACTTCACAGCACTGGGTTCACATTGGGTCTGGCATTCCTAGTTTTTTTTTTCTTAAAGAATTCTTATCTAAAACATACTGCTCACACTTTTAAGTATGTTTTCAAAACACGAGCCATGTCTATTTTATTTAATCTGAATTCAACACCACTTCAGGGCACAAGAGATGAAATCTGTTTGCCAGGCAAGCACTTGGAAATTTAGGGAGAGAGGGAAATGTTCAAGCACTCAGCTTTTGTTGAGTATTTGCCCCCTCCTTAAGGCACTTTTTAATCCCACCTGGCCAAGGGCACGCTCTGGGGCAGGCAGAAACAGATGTGGAGCCTGGGGCCCCAGAGCTTTTCTTTTCTGAAACATTCCTGATGGATGCATTTTCCTCTAGCTATTTTCCCAATGTGTCTGTTAGTGCTGACCCCTGGACAAGGGGGCAGAAAGGAAGGGGCATCTTTTGGATGAAAGTTTGGATACTGATGGTAGTGGGAAAAGGAGACATGAACAGCTTCCTTCCTCTCTGGGATGGTATCATGTAGGAAACACAGAGTGTTGCCATGTTGAGAGCTGCTAGCCTTATTTTCAATTTTTTTAAAAAATAAGTACAATGTAATAATTGTCACTTCACAGCGCAGACGAGGAGAGATTACAAAGGATTTCTGCAGTGCTTTCATGACCCCTCATTTCCAAAGGCTATTAAGTTGAAGGTCAGAGCAATTATGTCACCATTTATTTAATCAAGTGAGCTTATGGAGTCGGCGATGGTGGAGAAAATATGTTCACATAAGGTTTTCGCTTCGTTCATTCCTATCTCTTTCTGCCCCTCTCTGTCTCAGAGTCTCCAATATTCAACAGCAGCTGGCTCAGTTGGCTACCGAGTCATGGCCGGGCATGGCTGAGGCTGACAGGGACCGGCTGCAGCTCATCAAAGAAAAGGAGGCCCTGCTGCAGGAGCTGCAGCTCATTATTCAGCAGCGGAGGTCGGCAGAAGATGTGGCCCGACTGGAAGAAGAAAGGAGGCGCCTGGAGGAGGAGATCCAACGTGCTCGGGCCACATCTGCACAGGGTGCCAGGGAAAGGTATGTGGCTTTCCAGGATTTGGGGGGCAGAGGATAACACTTGTAGAAATGAACCAAATAGAAACACTAAACGGATGGCTTGTATATGATTTGAGGATGTTCTTAATTGATAACAGGTTGAACAGTCCTTGTGTAAAATGCTTGACCCCAGAAATGTTTCCAATTTTGGTATATTTTATTTAATTTAAAAACTTTTATTTTTATTTATTTTGTATATGTGTGTATATGAATGAATGTGTGTGCCACAGTACCAGTGTAAAGATCCAGGACAACTGGCTGCAGTTGGTTCTTCTGTAATGTGGGTCCTGGGATTGAACCCAGGTCACCAAGTTTGGCAGCAGATGCCTTTTTACCTGGTGAACTAGCTCACTGGCCCTAGAGGATTTTAGTTTTATTTTATTATTTTTGCATGGTAAGCTAACTATTTAATCATCAAGCTACAGCCGTAGAATCCCTTCTTTCCTCTCTTCATTCTTCTTTCTTTTCTTCTTTTCTCTCTTCATTCATTTCCTCCTTCCTTCCCTTCCTTCGTTTCTTTTTTCTTTCATTGCTTGAGACAAGGTCTTATGTACCCATGTTGGCCTACAACTTGCTGTGTAGATAAGGTTAGCATTGCATTACTGATCCTTTTGCCTCTACCACCTAGGTCCTGGGATCTTGGGCATATGTCTCCTCTTGGGGCTGGAGGTTTGGTTTTGTTCTTTATATTTAATGTTTCAGTATTTTTGCAGATGCACTTCTATGAATTTCTAATATGAAAATCTAAAATCCTAAATGCTTCAAAATCCTAAATCTACATCATACTTAGGTGACAAAATAGCCTGAGATTGTACATTCAGATTTGGTACTCCCAGATAAGAGATGTTCCGTTTATTCTGAGAACAGTGACTTCTGGTATGTTTCCTTAGAGAATATGTGAGAAGTAGAATCATGTGCCTTCTGTGCTATGAGAGGTACCAGATGCTTTCCAAGGTTCCTGACGCCAACTCAAAACTGGGACATGAAAACCAGGTGTAATGGTTCACACCTGTAATCCCAGCACTTAGAGGTGGGATAATGTCTTTAGTTTGAGACCTGCTTGGGGTACATAGTGAGTTTCAGAGTTTGATAGTGCACTACAGATTGACTTCTTTTCTCCAGAAAAAGAGAAACAAATATAAAGAAATAGTGGAGGACAGCAATAGAGAAGGAAGAAGAACAAGCACCATTTATACTGTTCCCCTTCTGGTGCAGGTGCTTGGGGCTTCTGCCTGTGTTTGCAGAGCAATACCTCTACAGGATAGGAGGCAACTGCAGTATATCAAGGGGGCACAGGTGGTGTTCCAGCTCTAGAACAGGGAACTTCTGTTGCCTGGGGTGGGGGAAAATTGCTCCCTGTAGCATTGTGGGTGTCTCCCTATTGCTTTTATCTCCAACTTTGATTTCTAGCCAGGGAAGCCAGCTCTTTCTTTTGCAGTAGGAAGTCGGCAGCCTTTTGTGAGTCCATTTCTGAATGTGCCCCTCTTCAGTTACTCTTGAGACTCTTTTAAGCACAAGACACGTGAAACTTGTGTCTTTGTATTCTCAGACGCCAAGTTGTTCAGCCTTTCATCATGTGCCACGTCTCCTGGTTTCCATTTGCTGCCTGCGATTGTGGAGTGTGATGAAGTCTGGGTCTGCTTTCCACATTTAACAGCTGTCAGTGGTTTATCTGTGGCTATCTGCCGAGCTTTGGGGACCCCCACTCTTCGTTAATAAACTGGCTTGCTCCAATTAAGTATATTGACCTGACCCTAAATTGTATCTTCCAAAGCATTGTCTACATAGTCAAAGAGTTTAAGTAATCAGAATTAATTGACCTGTGCAGATACATTTAGTGATGGTTTCATTGTGGCTTCCTTTTTATTTTATTTTTTGTCTGTTTGTTTTGAGATGGGGTCTCTCTCTCTCTCTCTCATATATATATATATATATATATATATATATATATATATATATTCCTTATATATATTCCCTATATACACCAGGATGATCTCAAAATCCACCTATCCACCTGCCTCTGAATGCTGAGTTTAAAGGCATGCTCTGCTATGCCCACATTCACTGTGACTTCTGACTGTTCTTCATATTGCCTAACAACCTGGATATTTGGATGCTCGTTGTTAATCTTTAGGTGGCCTAAATGAGTGGTGGTTTGGAGGTACTTGGAGCTCAGAGCTCATGGCAACATTGGAAGGAAGAGATAGGGTTTGGAGAGTTCAGCTTAGCCTAGTAATGAGTAGAATGAATTTTAATTTGCCTGAGATGACAGCCTACCCTACCATCTTACTCCAAACCTAGAACTGAGTCTGAATCTCAAACGGCACAATGCTACTGATTTTATTTTTCTTTTGTACTCTTGGGCTTCTGTGTTTTCTTAGATAAACATTAGCTTCTCTTCAAGCTTGGTATTTTCTTTTATATATTCTGGATAGGAGTGCCTAGAGTTCTTGTTGGTCTCAGTTCAGCAGGGTGGATTTGAACTACAAATAGAGCCTGCTTCCTCAGAACCTCTACCTGCACACCCTTGACTATGACTTTCCTTCCCATGTGAAGTTCAATACTTGCCAGTGCTGTGGGCACAGGGTACACATCTACAGAACTCTCTGGGAACAAAGTTAACTCTAATGATTGGGACCAAGAGATCAGACAACAAAGCTGGACTAGTTTTCTTCTAGCTTGTGGTCTCCTGTGGGGCCAACTTGGGTTGTCAGTTCTGCATCAAGCGCCATCAATATGAGCAGACTATATACAAGTGAATTTCCTAATCTGCTACAAAATGACCTTGGTTAAAGGAGAACATACATGTGTGATAAGTGTCTCTCTCCTTTGCACTTTGTATCAGCTGCTGAGTATGAGATGAGCTCAAATGCCCCAAAGGGTTCCTGCAGCTGTTAACAGGTTCTGCCAAGTGGATGCTGGACACATTTCTTAGTGTCACTTCCCACCAATTTAAGTGTGAGATCACATGGTAAGAGCTTTCTCATAGCACAATCTGTATGTTTAGACCCTAAGCGGAGGCAGAACAAATAGCTTCTTGTGGCCAAGTTGGGGTACCTAAATGACCAGGACCCTATCTTTGCCTGTCTCAACTCCAAGGTCATTCATGAAGAGTTACAGTTAGAAAGTTCAGTGAGGGAACATATTGAAGCTCTCTTTCTTCTACTTTTTCTCTATTTTCTGGAAAAGAAACTACAGATGAAATTTCGGTGCCTTTTCCATTGCTACATGTTAGGTAGGAATTTAAGCATGACCCCAAATTTGGGAAATATTTTGTGATGAAAACATGCCTTCTCCCTTTTTTGTCATATATTAACAACTGAATAGGAATACCAGGAAGTAGAAACACTGGGGTCTGGTAAATTGCCCTGCTTTTTGGTTCAGGCTGATGACCAAGCTTTGAACTTACATAACCCAGTCAAGTTACTTTCATTCCATGCGTGTTTCCTCATCTGTTAAATGGGATAGAATCAAATGACCGACAGGAAATGAGGTGTGACATAATTCCAAGTGTTAAAGCATTGTTCTTCTTTATGCACTAATTAAAAACTTCTAAATATCGTGTTAAAATAGTTAACACAAGAGGGCATTCTGTTGCTAAAGTTTTCTTTGAAAAAATAATAAGACATTTCCTTAAAATTATAGGTAAGTAGAATCTTAAAACTATTACATTAAAAAGAGTATATTGTAGCTTTTCTCAAGTTGTTGGATCCAGACTCTACATCCATTGTTAAAACTACTAAGGACTCCCAAAGAGCTCATACTGGTTTTTTACCTGTCAGTAATTAATGATTTAGAAATTAGTTTGACATTATTATTTGATAAAAAATCCTTATTAGAAATAAAAATTTTATGGCTGATAATGTTTTTGAAGTAAAGAAAAGAGACAATAGTACTTTAACATTTTTGTAATAAACTTCTTAAGCATCTGGTTTTCTAGAAGGCAGCTGCTAGAACATTTGGCCTGTATGTGTGGTGAACACATGAAGATCTTTTATGCTCACAGACATATAGTGAAGAAGGGATATTTTAGGACCTCTGACAGGCTGTCAGGGATTCCCCTAGGATCTATGGACCATGCTTTGAAGTCATTGGATTTAATGTATGTTATTCAGCTTTAAAATGTATAGTGTAATGAATGACTCCAGTTATGAAAATGTTTGAATTGGTGTAAAATGTTATAGGACATGTTTCACTATAATATCAATGGAACTTTGCATGTTTTTTGCCTAACGGGGACTAGGATGAAGGAGTTGAATTTTCTGTAAGGAATCCCATCAAATTAATGCATGCTGTGTTCTTGAGCCAAGCTTGTAAAGTCCCATTATTCTGTCTATTCTTCTAGCCATTTACCCTGTCATCTTTCACTCACCTTAACCACCATTCACACACTCACTCACCTGTCCATCCACCTGCTCTCCCACTTGTCCACTCACCTGTTCACAAGTTCATGTCTTCATCCATCCATAGACTAACTTACTTTCCCTTTCATCCACTTGCTCTAACCATGTATATATCAAGTATCTACAGTATTTTAGCCCAATGTAGAGTTTTAGGAATGTATTTTTCCAAGTAAGACAAAATGTTTTATTATGTTGTCATTTATACTGTATGCCTTTAGAATTCACTCAATCCTTCCAACCTGAATTATTTATGGGGCATTTATAATTGAATTTCTCCTGCATCAGTTCCTCTCCCTTTTACCTTACTCCTCTCTTTCCCTTCCTCCCTGCTCTCCTTTGCCTCTACCTCTTCTTCTCCATATGGTGATGAGGATGGAATCCAGGTCCATAAGCGTGCTGGGCAAATGTATCATTGAACTACTTTCCTATCAGACCACCAAATAACTATTTTTATGTCTATAGGATTCTACTTCAAGAAAAAAGAAATTGTCTGCTTATGCAGCTGGAAGAAGCTACACGTTTAACATCATATCTCCAATCCCAGTTAAAGAGGTAAGCTACTTTTGAAGGGAAATGAATGCCTAATAATTATATTATTATATTATAGAGACATGTATTATATTACAGTGGCATGTGCATGAACTTCATAGTTTCTTTTAGCTTTGCTTTTCTGCTGGTAGTAATTGGAACCTGAAGAGGGATTTAACAGAGTAGAAAAGTAGGTATTTTTTTGTACATAACTTGCTAACATACAACTCAGATAAAATGAGGAGAACCAAATTTGGTTTCAGTATAAGTAAGTCTGACCATAGTATGTTTGCACATGCCTATAATTCTATCATGTGGAAGGCTGAGGCAGGATGATATAGAGTTCAATTATGAATTCAAGTGTGTTAAAGGACTGTATAATTTACTTAGCAACTTCAAAAGCATTCATCTATGCATGTTTTTGTTGTGGGGCTTTTTGTAAATGAATGCATAATGGCATCTCCCCTTGTCAAGCCCTTACTGTATTATGAAGCAGCATGTGAAGGACTTTGTATAAATGACATTATCAGTTACTCCTCCAACTCAGGAAGGAGTCTACTATTGTGTATTGAGTTTCATTCAAAAGAGATAAGAAACAAACTCCACTCAGTTTCTCTCAAGCTTAGAACTGCATTCCTGTTGTTCTGTTCTTCCCTGAGGCTACAGCCCAGGTACCATGTGGTGGGTAGTGGAAATAGCATGTGTTTTTCTGAGACCATGGCTCTTTCATTTCAGCCTATCTGCCAGCACCCTGACTGTGTCCTCTGGGAGCAGCCGTGGGTCCCTGGCCTCCAGCAGGGGTTCTCTGGCCTCCAGTCGTGGCTCCCTCAGCTCCATCAGCTTCACGGACATCTACGGCCTCCCGCAGTATGAGAAGGCTGATGCTGAGTGTGGCCAGCTTCTGCGCTTTGATCTGATCCCCTTTGATTCCCTGGGACGTGATGTCCCCTTCACAGACCCACAGAGTCACTTGGGCTTCCACAAGCAGAGGAGGTCCTTGGATACACCGCAGTCTCTGGCCTCACTGTCCTCTCGCTCCTCCTTGTCCTCCCTGTCACCCCCCAGCTCTCCCTTAGATACACCTTTCCTCCCAGCTTTGAGAGACTCCCCTCTGGCACAGATGACTGACAACTTTGAGGTGCCAGGCCTGGGAACACTGGACAGACTGCGGTCACAGGCCTCTACTCTAGGAGATGAAGATTTGCAGGGAACTGCGACACTTCAGCCACATGCAGTCCCTGTGGATGGGGAAGGACCCCGTGAGCGGGGACCTCAACTTGTGGCTCCCACTAGTGGAAGTAAGTGGTGATGACTTTCGAGTTGCTGGTGAGCTATTATTATTTTACTATATTGATAGGGCTAAAAAAGAGCCCAGATCTTCATTAATCTTTCCTGTCTGTGTCAGGAAAGATTGAGCTTGATGCAGTTGTAGTCAGCTCATTTATGGAATTTACTTAATTGTTTTTACTTCAAAGTAAAAGTAACTTTAAGATCTACATAGTCTTATTCATAGGCATTCATATTCAAAGACAAATAACCTCAGTGCACACAGCAGGGCATGTGTTAAGATGGAACTTTCTGTGTATGCTCTCCTCAGACCAGCATGTAAATTTGCATCTGATTGCATTCTAGTAGAAATATCTACTTTCTTCTGTCACTTTGACTTTTCTTTTGCCACATGCCCTTGTTTCTAAGTTTATTTCTATCAAATGTGGAATTCTGATTGTGCCATTTCAGAAACCATTCCAGTTAGCACTCAATCATTTCTCTGTTGTTCTCCAGATGGAGGACCACCAGACTATATAGTAGGACTCTTTATCTACTCAGTTGTGTTAGTTCAACTCCTTATGGATACGGCAATGCTATTTGAGAAACTATTGACAATTGTAACGTAACCCCAAGAACAAGGTTTCCTGTACCTGAGGTTCAGTCCATATAGTCAACTTTCATTTACACAGCAAAAATATTCCAGACATTCAATTTAGGCTAGAAATAGATAATTTAATAGCATGGTGGGTCGTTCTTCCCTGCCCTAAGGGAAATTTGGCAAAGTCTGGGGAAACACTAGTCCTCCCAACTGAGCCGAGGGCTTACTTTTGGTACCTAGTGGATTGAGGCTAGGGAGGTTACTAAACTTCCTATAATACATAGTACAGCCCCTACAACAACAAAAATGATTTAGCCCAAGATGTCAGTAGTGTGGAGGCTGAGAATCCTGAGACATTTTCTATTGGCTGTCTATCCAACATAAATAAGGTCACAAGTAAAACTGGAATACAGAAGTAACGTAGTAGAAACAGCTTCAAACAAGCAGTCTGCAGGCCAAGTTTCTGTTCCCTGTCATCTTTTTTTTTTTTAAATTTATTTATTTATTAAGGATTTCTGCCTCGTCCCCACAACCGCTTCCCATTTCCCTCCCCCTCCCCCCGATCAAGTCCCCCTCCCTCATCTGCTCGAAGAGCAATCAGGGTTCCCTGACCTGTGGGAAGCCCAAGGACTGCCCACCTCTATCCAGGTCTCAAAAGGTGAGCATTCAAACTGCCTAGGCTCCCACAAAGCCAGTACGTGCAGTAGGATCAAAAACCCACTGCAATTGTTCTTGAATTCTCAGTATTCCTCATTGTCCGCTATGTTCAGCTAGTCCGGATTTATCCCATGCTTTTTCAGACCTAGGCCAGCTGGCCTTGGTGAGATCCCAATAGAACATCCCCATTGTCTTAGTGTGTGGGTGCACCCCTTGTGGTCCTGAGTTCCTTGCTCGTGCTCCGTCTCCTTCTGCTCCTGATTTGGACCTTGAGATTTCTGTCCGGTGCTCCCGTGTGGGTCTCTGTCTCTGTCTCCTTTCATCGCCTGATGAAGGTTAATATTCCTGAGGATGCCTATGTGTTTGTCTTTGGATTCGCCTTATTTAGCTTCTCTAGGAACATGAATTATAAGCTGAATGTCCTTTATTTATGGCTAGAAACCAAATATGAGTGAGTACATCCCATGTTCCTCTTTTTGGGTCTGGCTTACCTCACTCAGTCATGCTCAACTTCCTTAGCGATCAGGGAAATGCAAATCAAGACAACTTTAAGATACCACCTTACACCTGTCAGAATGGCTAAAATAAAAAACACCAATGATAGCCTTTGGTGGAGAGGTTGTGGAGAAAGGGGTACAATCACCCATTGCTGGTGGGAATGCAAACTTGTGCAACCACTCTGGAAAGCAGTGTTTCGGTTTCTCAGGAAATTCGGGATGTTCCCTGTCATCTTGACTTCTAGTTCTGTGACCTTCCTTGAATTGTCCCACATTTCTTGCCCTTAAACAAGGTGATCTTTATGGTTTCTTCCATTTGCCACAGTTTTGTTATCTAAGAGATAGATGAACTGATAGATTGATAGAAATATCCATTGATCTTTACCTTATATAGCAGTCTGCTAGCATTTACATGTTTATCTGGATATCATTATGTTATGGGTTGCCTTTTGGCCTTTGAGTTCTCTATTATTTTGGTACCTTATCCTACATTTGCAAACATACTTGTATGCTCATTCAGGTAACCTTTATTCCTTTCGTTCTTCTTTACAATTAAAGGGTCATCACTCCATACTTATTCCTTTCAACAGAAATGAAATTATGATAGAATTCTACATATGCCTCGATTAAACTCATCTTTCTTCTACTCTTCCCCCTTCTAAGTTCTCTTTAAAGGCTGAATTTCAAGAATATTTGGTTGTGAAGAAAGTCTGCATGAGGGCTCTCTGGGTCAGGGAAAAGACGGGTTTGGAAGGGGAAGAGTTGAATTAATTCCTGAGCTGAATTAATCTTTTTTTTAAATTTATTTATTTATTAAAGATTTCTGTCTCTTCCCCTCCGCCGTATCCCATTTCCCTCCCTCTCCCCCAATCAAGTCCCCCTCCCTCGTCAGCCCAAAGAGCAATCAGGGTTTTAGTTTTTTGTTCCAACAATTTAGACTGGGAGGGTTTTGCTTCATCTACATTTAGAGACTGCCACCTGGTGGTAGATTCTTGGATGACACTGTCATTAACTTGTGTCCTTAGGAATTTGAAATAATTGACAGAATCAGTTCCTGGGTCCTGCTAGATGCTCGCAGGATCCAGAGCAGGTAAACTGATGTCAAGCCTCAACACATGGAAACTCCTTGCCTTCCTGTGTGATTTGGCAACTCTGCATTCTAGAGTTGTCATAGCATTCAAGCATGCTTATCAGAATTCCCTCATTCTATCATCTGGTGATGCTTAGGGTAATGCATTTCCCTTCAATTTTCAGCCTTGCTCTGTAAAATCTAAGTTTGGCTTCAGGCAAGTTTTAGTAAGATAAAATTTTACTAAGATAAAAATCTAAATTGCCCAAGCTAGAAGGCAGTGATTTCCCCTTATGCCTTAAGGCAGTCAGATGGGCAGGTGGCACAACAGAAGAGTAGGCTGTAATTTGGAACATTTTTTACATTTTTGCTACAGTTTGTCTTTCCTGGATTTTTAAAGTTAAATGCATCCTGATTTTGAAATACTTTCCTGTTTTTACCTACTGGTTAGAATATGCTAGCAATGTCCACAAAATTCTTTTAAGTTTGCTCAGTTTATTTTATTATTATTTTATTATACGTGCCCTGTTTAAAATTATTAGGTGGAATCTTATAGTTTTCACTCTGATTTTTTTATCTCTTCTCATGCTGCTCCACAGAAACGTTTACTGTAAGTGGCCTTGGTATTTCTCCATGTCCCTCTTTGTTGCTCAGGCTGCGGGCACTACTTTTGCAGGAACATCATGCTTAGGATGGCTGGGGGTGGTAGCTTATTGACTGTCATTATCATTATTATTTCACTGTTATTATTCATAATAATCATGTAAGAACTTTTCTAAAAGATTTCAATATTTATTTCCTACATGTATTTTTTTTCTCCAGAATTTAATAGCATTCATTATTTAAATATGCCAGTGGGCAGCTTTGGCTATGATGTGATTTTCAGTTTTTCCCTTTTCTATGAAGCAGTGTTTATTATGTTCCTTGGTGTTAGTGTCTGTCTATCTTTAATGAGGAAAGAGCAGCGTGGTTCTTGTATGTTTGTTTTGTTTTTGTTTTCAAATGAGTGGGTAGAAGACTTCTTTCTAGTCCCTGTTTCATTGGTGCTGTTTTTTCTGTTTCCCAAGTCTGTCTTGAAATCCTAGAGTTGTGAGAATGTAGTGTGGAAGTTGCTGTGTCTTTTTTCACTCAGGGAACCCAGTGAAGTTACTCTCTGTTGCTCTGTGAGTTCAGTGACTTTGAGCATTCAGTCTCCATCCTCTCTGAACGGACTGTTATTGTAATGAGGAGAGAACTATTTTGCTTAGCATTGTACTATGGGGTAGGACTATGAAAGTGAGAGGATTGTTACCTAGTGCTGTTTCTTTGAAGGGATTTCAAGGTGGATGGAGGAAGCATCCCTGGGGGTGTCAGAGGAGTGAGTGGAAATAGGTATTGGCTTTACTTACAGAGATCTGCTGTGCAGAGTCTCAGATACCAGAGGGTTCCACATGCACACAGGGCTGGGATCATTTCATGGGACTGGAATGAAGACAAGACCAGGACTTCAGAGTTCTGGTTACAATTTTAGAGAGTTTTATGCCTTCAGCTACTTCAAGATAGAGCCTGTTTCTGTCCTTGACTGATCATAGTAGAAGCAGCTTACTCTCATGGTTGGTATTCCAAACACATGGAAGGCCAGTTTTTGTTGCCAGTTATCTGTTTAATGTGTTTCGGTTAGTTGGTGTGCTAATAATTTGGTTAAAAAGAGCTGGGTTGTCCCTGGACTCATTCTTTCCTGCAGTGAGAGTGTCATTTTCAGTTTATGAAACGTGGTTAGCCAATGAAAAGCAAAGAGACAACTGAGAGACCCATATTATTAGCAAGTGGCAGCATAGCAGTTCTTAACTTGGGACATCATATGTATTCTGTATTTTAACAAAGTATGTCCCCTGTAAAATATAGGCTTCTACATATATAACCACATGTAACATAAAAAAGGTTGAGTGTGTTTGTATCTTTGTTTTTAAGAGAAACCCACTTAAGTGAAAGAAAAGGGTAAAATAGGTAAGAAAATGTCAGTGATTATATTTGGCTCTTAAAAGTAGATATGAAAGATAAAAATCAAATACTCAGGAATGGTAGCATTCTGACTTAGGAAAGCTCTTCCAGAAGCAAGTGTGGCCCAGGGTGGCTCGGAAGGCTGCTACCGTGAGATCAACAGAGATACGTCGGTCCCTGTGCAAGTCACAGGTCTCCAAGACAGTGTTTTCAAAGGATGAATTGGTGTCTTTGTTTAGAAAAATCATTGAATTCTGTTAGGATATATTTAGATAAGTTTTAAAAGGTGATCATAAAAGCAATATCAAATAGGTTTATTTTGTAAAATATGAAGAACACCAAAGAGCATAAAGAAGGAAAGTGAAAAATAACAACACATTGTAACTGCTGTTCTTGTGAGTCTTTGTTCTTTTTAGAAATATTGTTACTTTTTAATCAATCAGCACATAATATATTATATGCCATTATAATATATTTGAACAAAGTGTGTTTTGTGATTCTCTTTCTCCACATCTCCTCCAAACCTCTGCTACCTCTATCCCCTCCTTTTAGCCTTTCCCTCCAAGACTCTTTTAGGGAATTCCCATTTCTGTCACTTTACATCCTATGTGATCATCATCAAAGGGAAAATACAAGAAGGAAGAGTCCACATGTATTTCTAGACAATTAAGAAACTTCTTAAAGAAGATGCCAGTGCCAGCTGTAATGGTATATACTATAATCCCAGCATGCAGGAGAATAAAAAATATCTCAAGTTTAAAAAGCCAGGATTTCATAGTGAGTCTCTGCCTTAAAAATAAAGCAGGAAGTCTGTTGCTTTGGTTTTGAATATTACAATCATGCACAGTGTCTATCTGCATGCACATGCCATGACTTGTCTCTGGAGCACTTACTGACTTTTCAGCACTCTACCGTAGATGTTCTTCTGGCCTCCTATACTGTCTATCACCTCCTGACCCAGGTGTGTCCCTTGTTTGCAGCAGTGACTCTCCGGGAAGATAGTGCCAAGAGGTTGGAGAGGAGAGCACGCCGTGTTTCTGCATGCCTGTCAGATTACTCTCTTGCCAGTGACAGTGGGGTGTTTGAACCTTTAACTAAAAGGTTAGGAGATGACCACCTTGTTTCCTCATCTTTAAGTACACTTGCCAGAGCATTACTGGTATGCACACAAAGGATCTATATGGAACTTTGTTTACAGCACAGTGTACATGTTTCTGCCTCCTTTAGTCTTTGGGAGGTTGGGGAAATGCCTCTAGAGGCTGGTTCTTATTGTGTTGTTCTTGAATGGGTTTTTTTCCCCTGGTCCTGGCCAGTAAAGCTGAAAAAGACCAAGTATATACATTACATGCAAGGGACCGTTATTCCTAGCAATGAAGTAAGTTCCTCCCTTTCTTCCTCCTTTAGTTCTTCAGCAATAGGGAGCCCCCTATGGTGGAAACAAAACAAAACAAAACAAAAATACAAGTACGAAACAAGACACCTGTTGTTGCAGGTCATACCTATAATTTCAGCATTATAGAGGCTGAGATAGGAAAAATTGCCACAATTTTGAGGCAACCTTGAGCTAGTGAGTTCTGGGCCAACCTGGTTCATGATAGCAAGACCCTGTCTAAAAACAGAGAGGTAAGCTGGAGAGATGGCTCAGTGGTTAAGGGCAATTGACACTCTTATGGAGGATCTGAATTCAGTTCCCAGTACCTACATAGCAGCTCACAACCATCTATTATTTCATTTCCAGGGTTCCAATGCCTTCTTCTGGCCTTCATGGCCCTTATATATCCATAGTGCATATATTTATGCTCAGGAAAAATACTTAATACATAAAAATAAAAACAATCCCTTTTCTTAAACTAAGGGAGAAAGAAAGAAGTTTGTGGGCAGGTATCCGTGAGATAACACGTGATGGACCCTGGAGTACCAGCCATGCCCTTTGAGCCACTTAATGAGTCACAGTTTGATAAAGCTTTTCTTAGTAAAGGACACCCTGAGCATGAGAGAAAGTATACATATCTATAATGCTCAGTCCTTTTGGAATAAACCTGATGAATTTACCATTCTGTTCAGAAATGAAGATACTGAAGAGACTGCTTTGGGAGACACAAATGGAAACAATGAGCCTCAAATCTATGTGGGATATCTGTGAGTATAGAAGCCAACTTCAAGATGCCCTGTGGTACAGGGCCCACTTTTGTGGTCTTCAGTCACCTTTGATATTCCCAGTCACCTTTTAGCCTTAAAGATGCCCTGTAAATGGAAACCTGCTTCATCATGGTTCTCATTTCTATGGCCAGGTGAAGGGGGGTGGAGGGACCCCATGACCCAAATGTTGCTTCCCCATTCTTGTTAGGTCAAGTCTTACTTTAGTCTCAGATGAGTTGACTAGGGTAGAATGAAGGAGGGACAGAGAAAAGCGGCTGCATTACTCTTTCATCGCTGATACTACAACTGAGGACTGTTAACTTAAGACTTAGAAGTCAGAAAGGTGGGATGCTCAAAGTTTCATCAAACTCAAGATCTTGGAGGTATATTTTCCACATTTATGCTAGAAGTTGGCAGTGTGTTTCTAGAAGTACAGATATCAGGGTCCTTCCCTTATCCCCAGAATAGGTCATCCAGTGGTCTGTAACAATGGCCCTAATTTACAGTTTCAGTAAAAGCAGGTGCCATGATTTTTATGCTGGCAGAGAAGGATGTTCAGGTTTCTGTAGTTTTGGATTGTCCATTCTTGTTATTGTGTTCCAGGTTTTAGTGCTAAAACTGTTGACATTTAGAATTGGGCCATTCTTTGCTATGGTTTCCCATCTTGTACACTGTAGGGTATTCAATTATGTCCTTGACATCCATCCACTTGACACTCCCTTTGCACTTTTGATAATAATAAATGCTTCCAGATATCACCAATGTCCCTTGGGGATAGGATAGGGTAAAGTGTCCTTCAGTCTGTGGCCACTGTTGCAGTTGAATCACAGGGTCATTTCCTCCATGGGGAATTTGTAGCCCATGAACATGAGATTTATTTTCTAGGCATGACAGTACAAATGAATATCTCCTTGTGCATGTGCTGCAACTGAGGAACCTTGCTGGGCCGGTGATGAAGGAAGACTGCAAAATGTAAGTTCCTGGTATTGGAGACCTGGAGGCTGTGTATTGCTAGTGATGACCTTCCTCCGGCATTCCTCTGCATTGAAATAACTCTTTGCCTATTCTGCTTGGCAGACTGGGGAGAGGAAAGCAGTTTGGGAGCCTGAATTTCAGTAAAACAGTTGGAAACATCTGTGTAAAGTACAAAGGAATATATATTTATATATGTGCGTAGTTAATTAGTTGAGGCATTTGGTGTGGTCTTGCTGCCACTGGTAATGTTGAAGATTACCATGTTCTCAAAGGGCGGAGTGGTGAAGGTGCAAACCCATTCCACTCTGTGATCCCATGATTTGTATCAAGAGGCCTGAGACAAGATTTGGGGAACCCTTGGCTAAGGACAGTAACAAGAAATGGGAATTAGGACCATTTGGCAGTCTGCTGGTGACCTTGGTCTCAGTGTGGAATTTCTGGTTCTCTGTGCTCTCTGTCCCTAGGTGGGCACTTGTGGAGGGTCTCACTAAGGTGGGGGCTGCCAATAATGGGCCAATCAAACCTAAGGTACTCATCCCCATCCATTCCTTATGAACTAGCATTGTAAACGTGAGAATCCGCATTGGGATTCAGTTCACTTGGTGATACACACAGCAGTGGTCACATATACTTCAGCCCTCTTAACTATGTGCCAAGTTCCAGGCTGTGGGTAGAAAGCACATGAAACTGGCTTTATGTCTGAATTCTAGAACTGTGAAGAAAGAGCAGAAGAGCTCCTGCTGAAGCCAAGTGTCCAGCAGAATCTCACAGCCCCCAGTCTTATCTTGGCCAGTCAGGCATTTTCCATCTAATCTACAGAGATGTATTAGCTCCATTGGACATGGATGTTGGGAACCACACCACTGTTGTCATACCAACAAGTGTGCATATTAGTCCATGCTGCCTACCAACATGTTTCCTCCCCTCTGTTCCCAGCCACATCCGCGTCTACTTGCCCCCACTCGACTCTGGCACTCCCAACACTTACTGTTCCAAGTCTCTGGAATTCCAAGCTCCACTGGTGTTTAATGAAGTGTTCAGAATCCCTGTGCATTCCAGCATGTTGACACTGAAATCACTGCAGCTATACGTGTGTTCAGTGAATCCTCAGCTACAGGAAGAATTGCTGGTATGTGTAGCAGCAACGCTTCTGCTAGCTTTTATGGTGCTCTTCTTCCCCTCTTTTCCTTTCCCTTTTTCTCTTCGTCTTCTTTTCTTTCTCCCTCCATTGCTTCTTTGTTCCTAATTTCATCTGTCATTTGTTTTTATTCTTCCTCATTTATGTTTTGTATATATATTGTATGGGGGTGAGACAAGTAGGAGTGAGGACGTGCATGATCCAGTGCATATGTGGGGGTCAGAGGAACATTTTCATTCTCCTTTTACTGTGTGGGTACTGGCAGTCAAATTTTCTATATTAAGGGACTGCAGTTATGAAATAACATCGTAAAAGACTGGTTCTGAATTTTATTTTTAACACCCATGCAGGGCATTGCTCAGATAAACTTGGCCGACTGTGACAATTCAAGAGACATGCAGCTGCGCTGGTATCCTGTACAGGTCTTTGCCAGCCCTGAGCCTCCTAGGCCAAAAGAACCTGTGCGAGTTCTGGAGAGTACCACACAGAACACCACGCAGGCAAGCTCCGGAAAGACGGTACATGGCCCTGGCTCAAGGAGCCAATTATGACTATTTTCTTGACTTTGAGACTGGCTTTGCTCCAGGTACTCATTTCTAAGAAGTTTCCTTATAGACTAAAAGTCAGCATGTGTTATCATTGAAGGAATTTCAAGGGAAGGAATCAGATGGGAACATGGTCATACACAAGGCCAATTTCTGAAAACAAATTTTTAATGCAAACATGTTTATGATTTGTACTAATTTGTAGACATAGAGCTGTAGGCACAGGGTGAACAGTGTGTTACTATGAATGGTGGGGTTTGTTCTCCTGTGTGGCCAAGAGGTTATCTGGTTCTCTGAAGCATCCTTTCCTTCTTCAGGATGCAGTGACAGTGCTGCTGGCCAGAACCACAGCACAACTACGAGCTGTGGAGAAAGAGCTTGCAGAGGAGCGTGTAAAGCTAGAATATACTGAGGAGGAGATTCTGGAGATGGAGCGCAAGGAAGAGCAGGGAGAGGCTGTATCTGAGAGGTGAGTGAATACTCCCCTGCCATTCTAAGGTCACAGTAAGAGGCAGAACTCTCTCTGTGCAGTACCTTAGGGAGGTGAAATGAAGTTCTTGCAGACAGGTTAGTCTTCCCAGTGCCAGTCAACATGGCTCTCAGGGGAGTGTTTATAAATGCATGTTGTATTTCTCCTCTTTGCCTCTCTAGAATGTTCTGGGTGATGCTACCATACCATTGCTCAGGAGCCAGATTCTGGTGGGTAATTTCCTGGTGATCTGAATTGGAGAAATACCCAGAGCTCTGTGCCCAGTCCTCTTCCTTTAATTCCAGGATTTCTTTTCAGGACTCCCCTCTGCTGAGACTAATGATAACAAAGTTCCTCCCCCTTTTGGTTTTTGGAAATGGGTTTTAGTATTTAGCCCAAGGTGGCTTTGGAGTTCTCTTGCCAAAGCATTCTGAGTGCTAGGCTTATAGGCATATGCCACTATCCCTGACTCAAAGTTCTTTAAGCTTTTTGTTCTATGTTTCATTTCTTTTACAATACTGAGAATTAAACCTGAGGCTTTGTACATTCTGGGAAGGTATTATACCACTGAGCTACACTTCCATTGTTGTCATAACCCACCTTATAGAGATTTCATTTATCTGCAATTTGCAGTGTGCAATTCACTAATTTGATGTATAACTTCAGTATGCCATGTTTTTTTTTAACCAAACTCAGCTATGAAGAAAAATGTCATAAAATGAAAATACCATCCACCACCTCCATTATCAGTCATCCCCATTCCTCCTTCCCTCTGACCCTGTTCTAACAAAAATTCATTTTGCCTCTGTGAACTTCCCTCTTCTGGACACACTCCTTGTGGAAGCATATTATTACATAACCAGGCAGCTTCTCTTTCTGTTACTGCTTGAAGTGGCCCGTTAGTGAGTCCTCGACTGTAAAGGCCTGTGAGAAATGGATGAATAGTTCAGGTGAATGAGCACCTCTGCTGAAGTGGGTTGACTGATCCTCTATGGAGCCATTTCCGTGTTAAATTCCTTCCACAGATTTCCATGAAGAATGTTGTCTTTGTGAAGTTCAGTTTCTTTACCTGACTTTTCCTGAATTTAGTTTAGATAGAAATGTGCTTTTGGAGCATCTGGCAAAAGAATAGAGTATTCTGTTAATGGCTAGACAGCACATTTGAGGGCATTTTCTGCTAGAGATTTTGGTACCTTAAGTGACTCCAATTGGGTGATAGAGAAATATAAGTACTGTCTTCCTTAGAAACCAGAAATAGTCCTACTTTATGAGAACAGCAGCGGTCTTTAATCACTGAACAGAAACAGGTTTTCTTTGCTCTTTTTGCTGCTCTGCTCTTCAGACATCTATGAAAGGCATCAGCTCTGATGAACTTTTCATGGGCTATTGCAATGTTTACCTTTAGGAGTTGGCAGGCTGACTCAGTTGATAGTGGCTGTAGCAACTGCATCCAGACCAGCCCCAACTACCCAGACTCCTGTTACACTGGTGTGGACTCCATCCATGGGCATGTGTTTACTGGCCAAGTAGATTCTTACAACCCTGAGAAACTCCAACTCCTGCCTCTAAAAGTAAGTAGAAAGTGTCAAAAGGACCTTTGAATGTATGTACAGTACCTGGCCAGTCCTAGAAGGAGAGGGGAGGTATGTCCCAATACTTATTATGGAAAGTGTGAGGGACAGAGTAGAAGAGAGGCGAGTGCACTTGTAGGAAGCTAGATTGGCATACTTACATGTAGGAGTAGAACATGTGCTCACTAATAGCAATGGAAATGTGTGGCATTTGAAGGTAATAGCTAAGCAAGGGCTCTGTATTACTAAATGCTGAACAATAGCATTGCCTAAGATCTGTAAGAACGTGGGCACAGAAGGTCTTACATAAATGTTCATCACCCATATATTACAAGGAAAAGAGAGCTGTAATATAAAAGGGAGCTTTTTACACCATTCTGTGGTGATCCCTTCTCATCTTCAGGGACAAATATGTTTTGAGCAATTGACATTGTATCTATACCTCATTTAAATGCTATTACCCTAACTATTCAGATAAATATACTGAACGTGCTACCACCAAGGTGCCTGAAACAGCAGTATGAACCCTCCCCTTGGGTGAAGCAGATTAGAACAGGTGTTTTAGACCAGGCTTCCAGGAATTGCTGCTCTTCTACTGCTTATAACCTGGAGAAGTAGCCACCAAATGAGTGGCTGTAGAGGCGTGTTGATGTTTTCCCCTTTCTTTATTTACATTTATGTTTTGGAAAGGATTAGGTTGTGAGATGGTGTAATTTCTATGGAAAATAGCCTGGCATTTCTTCAGTGCATTCTGGTAGTTCGTTTTCTCATTCCACCGCTTGCAGGATAAGTCAGCAAGATTGCCATGTGTTCAAGGTCAACATGTAGTATGCAGTGAGTTTCATACCAGTCTTGGCTACATAGATTCTGTCTCCAAAAATAGAAAAACAGAGTTGAATAGGAGTAAGGAGTGAGAAACCGAACTACTATACTTTCTTACAATGCCACTTCTGCATGGTAGTTTTAAAAAGGCAGGTAGACTAGCAAGAGGAAACTTCGGAGAGGAGGTTGTTCACACTAAATGTATCATTTGTACTATGGGAGTAACAAAAAGACTACTACCTAGGTTGACAAAGAGACCACCACAGAAGACCTTTTGCTAGAGGAACCAGTGAGTGTTCACAAGGAAAGGCTTAGCCGCCGTGCCCGAGGATCTCCCTTCGTCCGCAGCAACACCATTGTGCGCTCACAGACCTTCTCACCAGGAGCAAGAAGCCAGTATGTTTGCAGGGTGAGTTGAAATTCATCTACCCTGTCTGCAATATTTTCTTCTTCATTCTCTTTGTCAAGTTCTCATTTTTACTATTTATGCTAAAAGACATGCATATTCTCACAAGACATACCAATGAATAAATAAACACCATATATGATTGGAGATAAAGTTGAGTGCTAGGAACTCAGCTTGCCACCTGGCCCTGAGCCTGTTGATTTTTGGGTTTCCTCTGAATTCTACCTCCCACAGATTTTCACTATTCTATGTGTTCCATCTCATGGAGGCAAGGTAAATGTTGTGACATCAACCTCAAAAACAGCAAGTCAGAATGGGGACAGTCTTGAGTTGGATAGAGATCTGTAGGTTGTACTAGCATGTTCCTTAGAAGTTCTGAAGCATGGTTGAGTGGCTGAGCAGCAAGGTACCAGAATTTGAAGCCTGTAGGCTCTAAGGAGTGCATTCCAATTCGTTATACTTTCAGGAATGGTGGATATACGCAGTCATATCACATTGGAAGGCTTTACTAAATACTGACACCCAGGTCCTACTCCTAGACACTTGTCACTGACACAGGTGGGATATAAGAATTAGAACTTTTGAAATTCTGATGTGTACATGGATTGAGAACCCACAGGTAGGTGGTCCAAGCTACTGTAGTCATTGAAAGGAGTACAGTGAGTTTGAGCTGATTAGGCAGGACCAGGATGACAATAACACCATTGATCTGGACAGTGAAAGGGTTTTTAAGAGAAAATGGTCATGATGCTCATATAGGTCATTGGACATACTCTTCTAAATACCATCCTTATAGTCTATTTGTAGCCTCTGCTCTGGCAGAAACACCAGGAAGCAGATTCAGGTGCTTTTTGACAATTGGGTGGTAGTCGGGCAGTTTGCTGCTTAGAGGAAGAATGACAGCTGCTTGATTGAGCTCTGTTCCCTGCATTAAAAAAAAAGACTGCATTTATTGCTGATGGTGTTAGAAGCCTTGCTGTTTATATGCATGTTGGTATGACCACAGGGCAAGTAAGCTTCTCTACCACTGCATTTCCTGAATATCTGCTGTAAACTGGTACAGAAAATAAAACTGGGAAGGCAAGACTTGGGCACTCACATAGACAGGCATTGATCCATCACTACATGAAATCCGTAGGGTCTCCCATAAAGAAGTATTCTTTATTTTCCTCTTTGAAACCACACCTTTCCCTTGACTCACACAGCAGGGCTTGGTGAATGTTGGCTTGCCCTTCTACCAGGAATGAGTCTCTTTTTCCAGAAAGCCATTTTACTAAAACCAGAAATAAATAGCAAATGTGAATGATTGCTAAACAATGAAACATACTGAAGACAATACCTGCTTTTATAAGCATCTTACCTAATATCAAATTGTAGTTGGTATAGATAGCACAGAAGTATGGTTGATCTGATCAGTGTAGAAAGTCAATGTGGTTAAGTTGACAAGCATGAAAAAAGACCAGGTTGGCAGTTTTGTTTGCTTCGTTTCGGTTTCGGTTGTGGTTTTGTCTTTGTTTTCCCTTAACTCTTCTCTAGGTCAAGAGTTTTAAATGCCTGGGAGAAGTTAAAAAAAAAAAGAATCCCATTTGGGATACACAGTGAATGAATATAAAATGTCTCATAACTTGTTTCTGAATATCATTTTTTTGGTGCAGCTTTATCGTAGTGACAGTGACAGTTCAACACTGCCCAGGAAGTCCCACTTTGTTCGAAATACTTTGGAAAGGCGAACCCTTCGCTACAAACAGGTGTGTGCTACAGAAACTAATATGGAGTCTATATTCACTCTGTTTTATTTGTATAATCCTCTTTATAAATGTATTATTTTAGCAAATGGTTAAAGCCACATTAATTAAATGACAATATTTTTATTTCTTTGTAACTTCTTTATAAAATGTAATAGTGGCATAATGCTATTAACATTTCTTGATTCTATATCACTTGTGGTCATTATTTTCTTAGTTGTAGTAAATGAATAATCATTTCTACATGATGTTATTTTTCATTTTTGACAGAAAATTATATAAAGGGTTGGCAAATTTGGGCTTCTTTTTCTGATTTCTTTTTACTTTCAATTATGTGTATATGTGTGGGAGTATGTCACGGGTGGGAATATGTGTGTAAGTGAGTGCACATGCTGTGGAATCCTGGAAAGGGGGCCTGATGCCCTGGAGACTGAGTTATAGGCAGTTGTAAGCCACCTGGCATGGGTACTGGGAACCCAATTCAGGTTCTTTACAAGAGCAGTACATGGTGCTCAACATTTAGCATCTCTTCAACCTCTAGATCTGAGTTTCTCAGCATACAGCATGCTTCTACAAAGAACTGTCCTATAGCTTTCATTGCTTTTACTTGCCAAGGTTTTTTCTTCTCTTTCTACCATGCCAGCTTTAAAAGTTATAGTTTGTAAGGTATTAGGTAAGTCCCTGTCTTTTCTGGGCAAGCATCCTTTGGAATAAATATTTTAAAAATCCAAGATTCCCATGTGATGTTGGTATACAGATTAGTTTCAGACTGAGAAATCTAAGAAAGCGTGTGATTGGTCTGCAGAAGTTGTGTCTGAACAGCAGCAGCATGAACATTGTGAACTGAGTCATTCTTTGTTACTGTCCTATGCTCTCTTGTTGAGTATCATCCTTGACCTTGACCCTTTGGATGCCAGAAACACCAGACTTTCCTGCTTTTATATATTTAGTATTTCCCCTCTGTCTTAAACATTACTTAATTTTTAAGGTCGCTTTTGTGTGTTGCCAGTTGTACTTTTCAGATATAAGTCAAAAATGAAATCTAAAAACCAAAGAAAATGCACATTTTGCTGCTTTGGACATACATTTTGAAATGGCATTTCTAAGTTTGTTCATTTTTTTTTATCCTGTCTGCTCCATATATAAGGGTCTGTTGCTGTATATATTTACAAATACAGTTGTAGGCCATTATTAAAGAAAAAGGTTTGTTGTTCCTAATATTAATATTGAAGTAGAGATTTAATCTTGCCAGAATATTTTTGTTGTTGTTGTTTGTTTGTTTTGTTTTGTTTTGTTTTTTGAGACAAGGTTTCTTTGTAGCTTTGGAACCTGTCCAGGAACTAGTTCTTGTAGAACAGACTGGCAGTAAACTCACAGAGATACACCTGCCTCTGCCTCCCTAGTGCTAGGATTAAAGGTGTGTACCACCACTGCCTGGCTCCAGAATCTAGTTTTTTTAAAATGTGGATTTGGGATAGGTTGTGCTTAAAGAAATTCTTGCATCATAGTCATCTCCTGTTAATTGTGGAAGAACCTTCCAGATGTGATGCCTGCACCAGCCTTATGCCGTGTGCAAGCTCAATGGTGCCCCCTGCCTGCTTTCCACAGCCCTGCAGGTCATCTCTGGCAGAGCTTATGGCCCGTACCTCCCTGGACCTGGAGCTGGACCTCCAGGCCTCCAGGACTCGGCAGCGGCAGCTGAATGAGGAGATTGGAACCCTCCGGGATCTGAGGCAGCGTCTGGAAGATGCCCAGCTGCGGGGCCAGACTGACCTCCCACACTGGGTGCTCCGAGATGAGCGGTTCCGTAGCCTACTGAAGGAAGCAGAAAGACAGGTAAGAGGACCAAGGCCCTGCTCTAGACTCCTTTTAGAACTCCCCAGCTGTTTTTATCCATGATTGCCTACCTGAGCTCTAGTTGTGAGTGTTCCTATAATGATGTAGTAATTGAAAAGATCCTGGGACTTGTTTTATGACATTCTCCCCTACTATGAACATTTATGGTGGTACCAGTGGACACCTAGAGGTTCTCTCAGGTGAGTGTAGGGCCCCTAGGTCCTCCCTGCCTTGTGTGAAGAATGTCCTGGGGCCACATTCTGGCAGGCCTGGCTTCAGCCACTGCAACCACCTACAGGCATTTCTGTGAAGATTTCCTCTGGTTACAGAAAGGGATGGCTTTTCTTCAGGGTCTTTGTGGCTGGTGTTGCATCTTCTGGACTCCAAGCATAGAAGTGAAGGCATTCATTATTGGGTGTGTGGGGAGGATTTCTAGATAGGGTTTTTCTGTGTAATAGACAAGGCTGGCCTCAAACTCAGAGATTCACCTGACTCTGCCTCCTGGGTGCTGGGATCCAAGGCCTGTGCCACCACTGCCTGGCCATTCCTTTTTTTTTCTAGGTAGCAGTAGAAAGTCTTGGTCATTAAATCTTTCTGTTGCAGACAAGACAGACCAAACTTGACTACCATCAAGAACAAGTAGCTGAGAAGATGCTGAAGAAGGCTTCCAAAGAGATCTACCAGCTGAGAGGGCAGAACCATAAGGAGCCTATCCAAGTGCAGACCTTTAGGTAGGGGGGAAGTGGACCCTGTGCCCAATATTACAGCTCACCGCTTTCCTATCACCATGGCACATCACATAGGTTAATACAAAAGGCACAGTCATCAGGTATCTACTGTAAGCAGCATGTCCTGCCACTAATAACAGTTTGGTGTTTTCTTCTAATTTTTATATTTTATACTTTTTTATGTCACCTGTAATCATAATGTGGAAGTCTGTTGTTTAAAAATTAAAATATCCCAGGATGCTACATACTCTGTTAACTTATTTGAACATAATGTTTTATCTATAATTCACCCAGTTGTTCTATTTTATTAACCAGATGCTGCTTTCTGAACATTTGCTACTGTAGGTAACTAATTTGCATACATACACACATCCTTGTCACCTTTCCTTTTTAATTAACTAAAACAAAATCTACAAACTGCAAAAATGTATGTCATATAATTTAGTGATCAAGACTTGTTGTCACAGGATCAAGCTTTTGTCAACATGTATTTTTCCACATTAGAATCACTATTGTCTTGGATTTTAATTGCATAGATTGGGTTTACCTGTAAAAGCAAGTAAAGTTTTCATGGAAGAATTAATTGCACCATTATATCTGTATTCTTTGTGGCTGTAAAAAGTTATAGTGAAATTCAAAAAGTATAAAATGAACACATTTAAAACAAACAAGTTAATAGCATTTGCTGCATCAATAATGCCATGCTGCCACTACTCCCTCCATTTGGTTTCTAAACACTGTCATCATCCCCAAAGAAAAGTGCTTCATACCCTCTTGGTGGTCAAGCCCATCCCCCTCTCTGAGCCCTGCCAAGGAGCAGTAAGCAGCATGCTCCCTGTCTCTCTGCATTTGCATCCTCTGCACATTTCCTATTAATGGGATCATGCCCCATGTAGTTTTCTAAGTCTTTCTCATTGCATTTAGCATCACGTTTCTGCAGGTCATCCATATTGTAACATTTGCCTGTGTCAGCCCTTTTTATTGCTAAATGCTATGTTTGACTTTCAGCCTTAATGTTTTGAAATCTTTAATATTCATATTCTTGACATAACTACATTTAGTATAACTTCTTACCCTAAATTTGATTTAGAACTCATTCATACACTTTTCATCTTCTTATTAATTTCTTAATAGAACAAGTATTACCTGCACACCTACTACATTCTAATTAGTATTTTAGCCACTAAAGATAAGCACACCAGAAGGCTGGCGATTTAAGTTCAGCCCTCCCCTACCCATCATTGCTACTGATGATTGATTTCTAGGGCCTGGCATAAACTAGACATACTCTGCCACTGAGCTACAACCATAGCCTTTTAAGAACCACTTCTAACATATAATTCTTTCCAATCCTAGGGAGAAGATAGCATTTTTTACGAGACCAAGGATTAACATACCTCCTCTCCCAGCTGACGACGTTTGATGTAGTGCATTGTGCACATGAAGTATTTATCTGCCTGTTTTATTTTCATGAAGTTCTTAGATTAGCTAAATTTGTCTTTAAAATATTTGTGCAAAGCTATTAATATACACATTTTGTAAAAAACATATATCTATACATATATATTTTATAATAGTGACGGCAACAGGGCTTGGTTTTTCCTTGTTGTGAAATCGACATCTCTGAAGACAGGTTATTTTATAAAAGATCAACTATCATGTTAAGAGTGTACAGTTTTTACGCTGTTTTATTTGACTTAAAGGCTGGAAGACAGAAACGAAGTGAGTTCAGGCAAATTCACTGTATTGTAATTTATTTATAGTACTTTTTTTCCTTGAAGGAAAATACTGACTTTAAGGTGTATTTTAAGACTGAAATTTTGTTCTTCAGTATTTGTCATGCAGTAGAATGGAACTTGGGGCCGGTTTTGTTTCTGACACCTGAAACGCAAACACTATGTGCTGAATTTGTCACATGTATCAGTTTCTCATAGGTGCATTTACCATGTATATTGTACACTTTCACTTTCTGTGTGTTATGTTAAAATATCAACTGCAGTAGTTCAGTCATACTATGCAAGCTGTGTATGCATTGTAGGGCTCAGTGTGCTGGGCACTGATGGCTCCTCATTGCTGTGTTGTCATCTAATGCATCTTTCTGTGCTTACCATAAGTCTGAAGCTGGCAACAGAGCCTCCGGCATCCCAGGTTTCAGCCTGCCTGTCCACTGGTGACTGGTGGCTGTTCACATTGCTTACATTTGTCACAGCATGTGCAGCTACCTTTGCCACCTCTGACCGGTCTGACAGACAGCAGGGTGGGAATACTTTCCCACTACCCTACTGTTTTGTGAAGGAAAGTGAAAAGAACGAACACAGCAGCTACTAAAGGCAGAGACGTAACCTTTGAAGGTGCTTTTTGTGTTTGTGGAGAGAAGGGCATGTGGGTAACATGGCTTACCCAGCAAGTCATTTCAGGAGAATATTTGAGTTACATCATAATGCTTCTCTCATATTGGAGTGAACCAATATTCCTCGTGGAATCTTAGAGCTAGCTAATGAGGGAAAATTTAATGGAATAAAAATATGCCATGATTCTTTTAAATGCCAAACAATTTAGTTTGCCTAGCACACATTTATTCTATATAAATGTGTTTTCTTTCTGAGGCCTTGAATAAATAAATGAAGTAATCACAGGAAATGTCAAAGAAAACAGAACTCTCTTCCTAGATCTTCCTGTCCCTCCTTGGAAATGCCCCCCTTTTAATCAGGTCTCCTTTCTCATCCTATAACCTCTTCCCTTGTATAACCTACTTTCATTTTTTGATTTATTAAAAATGAATTTTGTAAAAGCATTTCATTGACATGTGACCAATCACAGACAATGGAATTTGTCAGTGGTGGTAAGACTGAAAACCTTGTTTTATACAGTTGTCATCTCTTGCTATGCATTCTTGTTTCTAGCCTTGCTTCCCCATCCCCACCAATTTCCTTTTTGTACGAACCTATAATAGCGGTAGAGACCCAAGGTGCCAATCTTAAAGCACTGCCAGTAGCAAGCAGCATTACTCAGCAGACTCACTCCCATGCCTGCAGAATATTAGGACCTTAACCTCCAGCCAGAGCCAACTTTTGCTGACACTGCCTCACAGAGACAACTCTTCCCAGCCCACTCTCTACCTGGAATGAGGTAGCTTTTCTGCCAACTCAGACAAATGAAAGGCTGTGGGCTTTAGGGGTTTGGGGGAGGTTTCCATCTGCTGTGTGAGTTTGTATGTATGCTTAGCCTGGTGAGAAAGAAAACTACTGTCTCTGGGCAGCTCTGGTCAAGCAACAACACAAATTCTGCCACCAGGGTCTCTGAAACAGCGCCAAGTATAAAAGGGAATTTGGTTTTTCTGCTTTATCTAATAATTGCATTGTCAGACTTTGGTGATTATTGCTTAAATAAGTAAACTTGTGTTGTGGGAATAAGTTAGAGTCAGTATTCATCTCTTTGTTTTGTCGCTGTTTTCTATGATTGTGTCATCTGTATCGTTTGAAAGTATTTCTTCTATAAAATTAAACTAACCTGCCTTAAGAACAAACTAAAATGTGTGGGTTGTGGTTTTTTTGAGAATGTATAATTTAATGGAGTCTTTTAAATAAATGAAAAAATGGTGCTGGGAATTTACATCAGTGGTAGAGTACATATTTCACTCTTCCAGGATAGACTGTTTCAACTCAGAAGAAGCCACTCCCCAACTGTAGTCAAATCTGGAAGCTTGATCACACTGAAGTTCATTTTCATTTCTTTCCTTTTTTGAGAGGGATGACTGGTAAGATTTCCATATGGTCACCATCTCATGACTTACAATATCTTGTACTTTTTTGTAAAGTCAACTACTGTTGATAAGACCTTGAGCCAGTGGTCCCCTAAGGATTAGTTAATGGTAATCTTCTGAGTCTAGCTTGTTTGTTTGTTTTTGTTTGTTTGTTTTAATCATGAATCGAAATAGTTAAAGGAGAAGCTTATCTGTTTGGATACCCTGTGAAAACAGTTTCTGTGGGAAAGGCTTGATAAATGCTTGATTATTTTTTTCCTACTGGTTTTCAAAAAAGCAAATCATACTACCACTATACAGTGGTAAGCAATTTGTTTTTGTTGTTTATTTCTGAGATCTTTACCGTCATTATTACATGTATGTGAAGCTGCCTAGTGTTTCAGTGCACTGGATTTGTCCCTAGTGCTCAAATTCACCCATCTTTGACTTGAGAAATCTGCCCAGCTTCTGTGTCCTTCTATTCTGATCCTAGTAGTCTGAAACGGCCTCATCACCACTGTCCTGCACAACTCATTGCCCCAGGACTGGAACTAACCATTTTCTCAGGGCAACATATTTTGTTATTAGAGGTCTTTATTGCTACTAAGCTGGTCATTACTTCTAGATTATTTTTTAACTAATTTATTCATAATATATGCCTGCAGGCCAGAAGAGGGCACCAGATTTCATTACAGCTGGCTGTGAGCGACCATGTGGTTGCTGGGAATTGAACTCAAGACATCTGGAAAAGCAGCCAATGCTCTTAACTACTGAGCTGGCTCTGCAGATCCTATTTTTAGATTTTTAAAAATGGTTTCCTAGGGAAAAATGAATGGCAGTGCTAGAATATCGCACCACCACTTATTTATTTTAACCCATATCATGTAAACGCATGCACACAAGTTTGAGAATAAGACCAACAATTCTACTGACAATAGAATTACTGGAAACTGTTAGGGATATTTTCTAATGTGAGCTCCCTGCTGATGCAAAATTTCCAATCAAGCCAAATCAAAACAAGCCAAATTAAGAAATATCCAGGTTTAATGGGAGTTCTGCGCTCTTGGGTGGCCCCAGGGGGAACCAGGAAGCCTCAGGAACAAGGAGACCTGGAGACCACGTGTTCCTCTTTTGGGAGCTCATTTAAATACCCTGGGGAAAAAAAGTGGTCCTGACCCCTCCCTCCCCAGGGATGGGGTCAGGACCTGGCCTGATGGGATTTGGAGTCCAGACCAGGTCTGGGGGCTGGAATAGATGCGAGGGGCTGGGGCCTATGCTCCCAACTTGACAGAAACCATTTGGGATTTTTTTCTGCAGTCTCTTCAACCTTGAAGTATGTCTTACTAGGAATGTAAAGTCAACTTACTTTAAAAATTTTTATAACTATCTAAAATATTGACATAGTTCCAAAGACAAATATGCAATGTGAAGTCTATCCAAAGAAGACTTATTTTTATTTTTGCCCTTTTGCCTTCTTTTCTTTCTTTATAGATAATCATTTTTAAATCTTTTATTTGTATTGCTTGTGGACACACACTTATCTGCACACAAATAAATATATACAGATAAGTACACATAAATTTAAGTACCCAAACACGTGCATAATTACATTTGAGTCTTTTCCCTTTCACAGTAACATTCTCCACTTAATTTTTTTATTTTTTACAGCATTATATTCTCTTTTTATTATATTATTTTATTTTATTACTTAAAAAAAAACAACCCAAATTCCCACTCCCTCCCCTTCTCTCACTCCCTTCACAGACCCTTCCACTCCACCCCCTCCAATCCTAAAAGAGGGTAAGGCATCCCGCCCTGTAGCAAGTCCAAGGCTCTCCCTACTACATCTAGGTTGAGCAAAGTATACATCCAAAGAGAATAGGATCCCAAAAAGCCAGTACATGCAGTAGAGACAAATCCCAGTGTCACTATCAGTGGCCCCTCTGCCCCAGCCATATAACTGTCAACCACATTCAGAGGGACTAATTTGATCCTATGCTTGTTCATTCCCAGTCCAGTTGGAGTCGGTGAGCTCCCATTAGCTCAGGCAAACTGTCTCAGTGGGTGAACTCACTTGATTTTTTAATATAAAAATATATCTGAGAGACTGTAAACCAGCTGTGTCACATACACAAGGCTGACAGTTTAATCCCCAACTCTGCAGACAGTGTGTGCTCATGCTGGCGCACACACACATGCATGCAATTGCTCAGGCACACACATACACAAACCCACACGCACACCTCTGTAGTGGTTGTTCTAACAGCTTTCCTCTAATCACTTTCCTAATCCCCATGTCACTTAGTTTGTATTACTGTCTCCAGTAAGAACACGTGTCATTAGATTTTAGGTCACATGGCTAATCCGTGATGATCCCAGCTTGAGATTTTTATTTAATTACTTTTGCAAAGACTCTTTCTAAGTAAGGTTACATTTTCGGGTTCTAAGGTGAGATAACTTTTGGGTCACCCAAACAAAACCATTTAAGCCAGTGTATAGCCATGTATAGGGGTGGAGGCCTGTAATCCCAACACTTGGAAGACATGAGAAAAGAGAAGCCTGAACTTAAAATCCATCTGTTCTGCATAGTAAATCTGAGGCTGATCTGAGCTATATAAACCATGTCTCTAAAAAGAAGACCAGTCAACCCAGTACAGGCTGCTTTCTGACAAATTTAAATCTGACCTACATGCAAAATACATTCTTCCGACTCCCATTTCTGTCACAGTAGTATGTGCATAGAGTATTATTCATCCCTCTTCCCTTTTTTAAATTTTGCACACTGAATTGGTGCATATGAGTTTATCCAGCATCCTCTGATTGTTTCAGTCTTCTGCTATTAAAAAATAAACTTTCCAGGCGATGGTGGTGCACACATACCAACACGTGCATATATCACCCAAACTTCAAAATGAATTTTGAAAACTACAACTGGATGTAAACCCAACATCTGGGTTTCCACCATTAAATTAAGATATTGCTGTGGTGGTAAATTACACATACATACATAGACTTATTCACACATACATGTTAATACCTAATACATATTCTATTGAAAGCTTTTACATACCTTTTAGTTTTAAAAGTTATTTTATGCTTTTAATTATTTTGTTCATGTGCATGACTACATATAACATGCATGTGGTACCCACAGAGGCTAGAAGAGGTCATCAGCCCCCTGGGACTGGATTTTCAGGTTACTGTTAGCTATGATAGGGATGTTGGGAATTGAACCTGAGTCTTTTGGAAGAGCAGTCAGTGCTTTTAACCACAGAGCCATTTCTTTTAGCTCTCTTGTGTTGACAAAGGTTTCTGTCCCACCAGGTCTCATAGCTGTCCAGTCCCAATGAAACACACAGAGGTCTACATTAACCATAAACTAGCTGACCTACTAGCTCGGGCTTCTTATTAACTCTTACATCCTACATTAACCCATAATTCTTATCTGTGTCAGCCATGTGGCTTGGTATCCTTTATCAGTGAGGCAG